TCCACGTCGATGTCCCCCATGATCCTGACTCAGTGAAACTACTAGATCTTTTCCAGTCTGTTGGCCTCCAGCAGCACATCACGGAACCTACGCAAATTCAGGGTCACACACTTGATCTCGTTATCACCCGTTCTAGCGATGACATCTTAAATAAGGCCCCTGTAGTTGATCGCTTTATCTCTGATCACGCATCTGTTTATTGTACACTTCAGCCCGACAGACCTTGCATGACTACTAAGAATGTTGTCTACAGAAAGCTGAAATCCGTCGATCTTGAATCTCTTAAGCGGGACTTATCTGACTCCTTGTTATGCAGTGATCCACTGGATCTGCAAGTGCATCTTCACTGGATGCTCTTGTATGCAGATACAACACTACACTTTCCAAAGTCATTGATTGTCATGCCCCACTTAAGACTAAGACTGTGAAAGTTAGACCTGCAGTGCCTTGGTACAACGACGAGATAAACGCTGCTAAACGCTTGAGACGTAAGGCTGAGAGAACCTGGAGGAGAACGAGATCTGTGTCTGACTTGAATATTTTCAAGTCTTACAGAAACCGCGTGACGTACCTCATGAACCAGGCCAGGCAGGCATTTTACACTAACTTTATTGATGAGAATAGCACAGACCATAAAAGATTATTCAGAGCTACCAAACAACTCCTTGCTAAGAAAGAGGAGTTTTCGTTTCCTAATTATCAGGACAAATCAAAACTAGCCAATGACATCGGCGGTTTTTTCGTTCGAAAGCTAGATACAATTCGTTCTGATATTGATGCCGTAGATATCGATCCAAGCGCGCGCAATGCGCTACCTCCTGATCAGGAAGTAGATGATGCGCATGCTTTTCATTCCTTTCAACCACTCTCGGAAAACGACGTCTCTGCGCTCATCCGTAAGTCTGCTAAGAAGTCCTGCCCGTTGGACCCAATGCCAACTTCTCTGGTTGTTGGCTGCCTTGACGTGCTGTTGCCTGTTATTTCACGAATTATAAATCTTTCGCTATCATGCGGCCATTTCTCTGAGGAATGGAAAGAAGCGCTGGTTACTTCGATCCTTAAGAAGCCTGGCTTAGACCCGACGCAGTTGAATAACCTTCGCCCTGTCAGTAACTTGGACTTTATATCAAAATTGACAGAGCGCGCTGTTTGCGACCCATTCACAGTCATATGAGTCGATTCGCCCTTTATCCAACCTCGCAATCCGCTTACCGAAAGGGTCACAGCACAGAAACAGCGCTACTGAAGGTACAAAATGACATTCTCATGAATATGAATCGCAAGCATGTAACTCTTCTAGTTCTCCTAGATTTGAGCGCAGCGTTTGACACTGTTGACCACAATATCCTGCTTGCTCGTCTTAAGTCAAGTATCGGCATTAATGGCACCGCCCTTAATTGGTTTACGTCTTATCTTAACAACAGATCGCAACGAGTCTCGCTAAATGGCTTTACATCTGACAGTTTTAACCTACCTTATGGCGTTCCACAAGGATCGTGTCTGGGGCCATTGTTGTTTACCATTTATTCCAGCAAACTGTTTGAAGTCATCAAATGCCATCTACCTGAAGCACATGCCTATGCCGATGACACTCAGCTTTACCTGTCATTTAGTCCTGACACGGCTACTAATCAGACTGATGTGGTCATTGCCATGGAACGCTGTATATGGGACATTCGTACGTGGATGCTTATGGATAAGCTCAAACTTAATGATGACAAAACTGAGTTCATGTTGATTGGTACAAAACAACAACTTTCCAAAGTAAATATTGATTGCCTTACCGTAGGAAGCATTGACGTTGTTCCTGTCACTGTGGCAAGAAATTTAGGGACATGGTTCGATTCTAACTTGAATCTCCAGGAACAGAACCACAAAACTTGTAAATCTGGGTTTTTCCATTTTTACAATATTCGGCGTATCCGAAAATATCTGTCCCAGGAGTCAGCACGAACTTTGGTCCATGCTTTTATCATTGGTCGTATAGATTACTACAACAGCCTTCTATTTGGTTTACCCTCTACTCATCTACTTAAACTGCAACGCTTGCAGAATGCAGCTGCTCGGCTTATATCTAATGTCCCTCGCCACAGTCACATAACACCAGTACTATGTGCGTTACATGGGCTTCCTGTCAAATTTCGTATTGATTTTAAAATAATTCTTTTTACTTTTAAAGCTATCTACGGTCATGCACCTGGTTACTTGATCGATTTGATTGCTATTAAAGAACAGCCGCGCTATAATCTCCGTTCAGCTAGCGGTCTTATCTTAAAGTATCCTAGTTTAAAACTGAAAAAGACTTTAGGGGATCGTGCTTTTTCATCTCTGCCCCTAATTTATGGAACAATCTGCCCCTTCACATCCGTCTTGAGGACAATTTTGAACGTTTTAAATCTTTACTAAAAACGCATCTTTTTAGACTAGCTTTTGATATGTAAATTTTTTACCTACTATGTAATATATTTAGTGTTTTTTTTATCTTTTTTTAATTTTTAGCGTTGTTTATTCTTAGCCTTAATTATTTTGCTCATTTTAGTTTTTATTTTCTTTTAGCATTTACGTGTTGTCACGCGCTTTTGATCATATTTGCATGGAAAAGGCGCGTTATAAATTTTTAATTATTATTATTATTATTATTTTAATTAATTAGCCACAATGAGCAGTGCTAATGTCAAAAGAAGCAATGAGAAAGAGCTGCTAGTTTTTGCATATCACCAATATTCTGTTTACATTCCTGTCCTGCTGGTTTGATAATAGAAACCTTGTTGGTACATACATAATATTTCAAAATTGCTTTTATGTGGCATTAAAAATTTGTTTTAGCCGTATTATTAATTTTGTATAAAAATAAAAAAAGCTATTTCCACTTCTTTTAAATCAAGGATTTTTTCATACATGACTAGATAGACTTGACTGGTGTAAACTTCAGTTTTTTTTTTTAATGGTCAATAAAGTTTGATTTTAAGGAGATGAACACACCACAAGACCAAAGGTGCATTTTTTTTTTTTACATTTGCAGCGCAATGGTGCCATCCAAACAATTAATATTCCATTGGTGTTTACCTCAATTTTGGCTTATTAACGCACAAATTTACCCATACAGTTGTAGAAGGTATCAGCATATATGTTGTATTTTATTTTTATTTTGTTTCAACGTCATTAGCATACATTACCATACACAAAAACAAAAACAAAAAAACTTATCTCAGATAAAAAATTAATTGAACAACATATACAAGATTGAGTTCAAAAGTTGAAAGACCTCGGTTTGCCCAATGAAAGGTAATATCTGGATTCTGAAATCCTGGAAGTTTTTTGCTTGCATACTCTGTAATCCGGAATCCTAGGCTTTGGATTCCAGTATTCAGCTTAAAGAATTCCTGCTAGTCATTGGAATCCAAAATCCAAGTTCCACTGATAAGGAATCCGGAATCCAGTTCCTTGAATCCAGAGCCACCACTGATTCCAGGATTCAAAATCGTCTTGGATTACCTCACACGAGGCGATGGTTCCCCTCCACCTGGGGGGGGGTTACTCAGTTATATACAGGGTTTGTACCGTTTTTTGAACAATAAATTCAAGTACTTTACATTTCCCATTTTTCAAGGACTCCATGAGTGCAAAAAAGCGCATGGAGTCTATGTATTTGTTAGGTTTTCCACAACGTGAGTAGTTTCAGGAGCCGATTACTCGGCTCCTGTTAGTTTTATCCCAAAGGTCTTTCTGTGTTTGCTCCTTTCTCTTTGGAGTTCAACTTAAACTATAGGTTAACATTGAAATTCAAGGACTTTTCAGCACCGGCAGCAATTTTCAAGGACTTTGAATTTTTACTTTAAAATAAAAGGACTCTTCAAGGTGCGTGCAAACTCTGTTGCGTCGTTTTGGTCTGAAAACGGGTGTAGACTTTGCCTACACTTTTTTTATAAGAATGTTGTTTTTCCGTCCCAGGCTATTCTTATTTTTCTGTCAATTTTAGGCTGAAAATATTCTTAAATTATTGTTAATTATAAATTATAGCTTATAGCACTTCCACTTAAGATTTGTATTGGGGTTTCAATTGCCAGTGTTCTGTGTCAAGAGCCATAATAGGACCTATTATGGCTCTTGTCTGTGTCTAGATCTGTCTCAAGTAGCCTGAGTATCAGGCCTTCCTAAGGGGCTAGGGGAGAGGGGATTTTAGATCAGCTCTTTCCCTTTTTCGCTTCCATCTTTCCTCCAAGTCTCAAGCGCCATTTAGGGAAAGGAATAATTTTATATGGTTCAGCCAAAAAACATACAGTGTACTGTATTTACAGTTATTTACAGACTTTCAACTTACAAAATTACGTCCTTTCAAACGCTCGGTTATATTCTTAAAATATTCTTAAAATTTCACAAATTTGAGCCTCAATATTCTTATAAAATATGTTCTCATAGAAAAAAAAGAGTGTATTTTGTCTGGAATCGGTGTGGTTTTCGAGAAAACTACGCGAGCTTATGAACGTAGCCTGCGAAAACATCCCTTTCTCCTCACTCTTCGCCCATGGGATTTTCAATTCCACATGATTCCAAATGAGTAAGAAAGAAAGAGATTATGCGAATTCGAATGGGATTTTAAAAAATCTTTTTATGTTGCTTTTCTAATTTAAGTAATGATCTTATGATGACATAACTTCTAAAAGGCCAGGTCTAAAAACGGGCGTGGAAAATGAAACTTTTTGGTCTGGAATAGGGTCAGGAGTTGGAGAACCGGGCGGCACACCCCAACGAAGAACTCCCAGAAATACTCCCCCCCCCCCAACTCCGGGTTCTTTCCAAGCAAGATTTAAGGAGATTCAGGCGAACCAGTCCTTAAAGACACCCCCATCATTCACGCCTCTCTCTTACGAACAGCTCGTTTAGTCCCAAAGATACCAAGCTTCTTAAAATTTTTTACCTTCACACTGTACAGCGACCATTTGTTTGTCTTTATTAAAAAGGCTGGGTAGCCTGTTCCAGGCAATAAGACAGTGGACAGTGGGGCGAGATCGATAGCGGAGTGAAAAGGGATCAAAAGAGATGGAAAAAAGGGGATGTTGTAGGTAAAATTCGTTTTCACTTTAATTCAGTATTCAACCTAGTTTGATTCGAAATTTTTTTTTTCCCTGCCCTAATAACATCATTACCATAGAAGACAAACGAAATTCTGGTTTAACCAGATTTTACCTACAACAGAGAGCGCCTATAACCTCCCCCTTCGGTTTTTTTTCTGCTCCTTTTCGGTAGCTCCTGTTGCCTCGAGCAAAACTTCGCAAACCTTCCACGTGCTTCCATACCTCGATGGTTGTACGCTGCGCGTTAACCATTTCTTAACAAAAGTTTACCAAATGCTCAAAAAGGGCCTTTTTAACCCGGGACCAAGTGAAAAGATGATCTGGAAAGTCAAAATGCGTCCTGTGAAACCTATCGTGCTACAGCTTAAGGTTCTTGAGGAGGAGAGAGCATTCTAGTCGTGAATCTAAATAGAAACGCAACACTATAAGGACAAGCTTTCTGTTGGAAGTAGCTGCCGTATCGCGTTTTCTAAATCAGCCTGTTGTTCGTAATTACATTGCTTCTGCGTTGTGATTGGCTGAACAAAACTCGCGCGAGTTTCTCAGCCAATCAAAAGAAACATCAAATCTGCTGACACGAGTTGACCCGCGCTTGAGGTCGGCTACATGCCTCCAAGTATGATTGGTTCACTTGATTGTGAGCTCGTGTTGTGATTGGCCAGAGTTATTACATGGGTTTTCGTTTACGACACTCCACTTTGTCCGTGTTTAGGTGAATTTGAAGACGTGTTGTCTGTCGTCGAAGCAGTAGTTTTGTTTATCCCAGCGTCCTTAGCCTCAAGCAGCTTTTTCATGAGCGTGTCTCTCTTGGCCACACACTTGCGAGTTATTGATTGAAGTGAGTCGACAAAATGAGTGTGAAACTCTGAAAGAGCCTTCACACCTTCAAAAGAAAAAACAATAGGTAACAATTATTAATAATTTAAAATCAACTGACAGACCTTTATAAATTTTACGTTTTGTTTTCACAATTCAGACCACGCGATGTTCTCCAGGAAATTTGCCTTTTGTCAATTCATAAATCATATTGTTACATCCCTCTTAGACTTTCACACAACTAAACAGGGACTGCCATTGGTTGATTCTTGGTCACATGACCTTGACTAAAATCAAATGTATCCCGATCTTGATACATGAAAAATTTCGGATGGAAACAAACAGTATTATGGTATTATTGAATAAGGCTTCCTTGGTGGCTGTTGTGCGGAAGAGGGAATGTAATATGAGCCCATAAAGACCCAGTCCTTTTGGTTTCGTTGACTAATAGTTCTATAGAACGGCTCTAAAAACTAATAAAACCTCGACCTTGAATGTACACACAGCAAATTAAATACGTTTATGCACAGTTATCACAGGGACTTTGGAAAAATTACGGCCACTTGGGGTTACTTCAAAGTAACATTCCCCAAGCCAGACTCCCACGGGTTAAATTACCTTCATGATCCTCTTGCTTATGTGTCTTCAGGGACTCCACGGCATCAGATAACTAAGATACAAGAAACAATGTCAACACTTTAGAACTTAAAAGGTTTGCTACAGCATACCGGTATTGATGTTGCCAACATCCTTTGAGGCTTTAAACTGAGTATTCAAAGAAGTGTAACAAGAAGATAGTTGAAATTCACTTGACAATTGGGGGCGACAGGCTAAGGCTTTTTTTTGGCGAGTCTCTCACAAACAGGGTATATCTATTTGGATTCTTTTGTCCAAAGCAGGGTCAGGGTTTCAAGTCCTCAGCAGCTCACCTATACCCAAATATTGGTCAGGTAAGAAACAGAACACAGACAATGGTGATAAACACATTCAACTTACTCATTTTTATAAACTTGACGTCTCGTATGTTGACTCAACTCATACGGAACGTCAAGTTTATAAGAATGGGTAAGTTGAATATGTTTATCATCGCTCTTTGTGTTCTATTTCTTATCAAGCTACGATGGCCCAAGAACAAAAGTCTTAACGAGTCCTATATAGGCCTATAACCTTGCGGCAAGCTCCCACAAGAATTCCCAGGGTTACCTCCCAGGGAATTGAGCCATGAAAGTCAAGTCAGATTCAAAACCACTGACAGGAACTCAACAATATATAGACCTAAAATATCATCTTTTATGTGAAAAATGAATTAATCAGCATGTCACGAGCATGAGACAAAGAAAAAAAGTCTGAGTTTCCGACAGAATTCGAACCAGGAGCCCCTGATTCGAACCTATGACCTCCCGAACACCGGGCGGGCGCTCTATCCACTTGAGCTACGGAGAACTCATGGACAGCGGGGCCATATAGTTACTAGGTTCATGTTTGACAAGCGTCATGCATACAAGGATCAGCAATCAGCAAAATTTACCATCTTTCATTCTTTCATCATCTTTTATTTTAGAAAACTGGTGAATATGATCCCTTGATCATATAGCCTGCTAGCAAGCTCTCCATTTAAGGCGAACGAAGCGAGCCAGCCGCCCCACGTACTCGCGTCATCAGTTTCGCGTTCTGCTCTCGTGTGACTTCTCGCGACTGCCCCAAATAGAGAGCTTGCTCGTAAGCTACCTTGAACGAAAAAACAGATATCTTCGAAAACAGAAGAAAAGATAAAAAAGAGATCTCTTCGTAAACATAAGGAACGTGACCTGCTTCTTGTGAATCAGTCAACAAGCCCAAGGGGATACTTCCTTATTTGGCCTATAAAGGATGTGCCGCTGAACAAGGTATGATTTTTGACCTCTCAGCTCTGTCATAAACAGGGTATATAATTTCGCTCTGTCCTACACAGGGCATATAATTTCGTGTGAGTCTGTTCTTGAGGGTATTTCTGCACGATCGATTTGATTTCCTGAATGACTTTCGTATACCAAAGCGATGACTATAACGTGAATTTGCTCTGTTGCAATTGTCAATAAATGACTTTGAAACAAGACGGCGTGCATCCTTTGTCCTGAATAGGGTAAACAAATTGAGGGTGTTGTCGTAAACAGGATATGTATTTAAAGTTTCTTTAGACCTAAACAGGGTCAGGGTATCAAACCCACAGCGACACACCCGTACCCAAATATTGGTCGAGTAACCTCCCCGGGCAACAGACAGTTACTAAATAACAGAACTTAGACCCTCAAGTTCTTTTCGAGAGCTAATTAGTGAACACCCAAATGAAATCAATCACAAGGAAATTAAAACTTTAAAACAGATAACAAAACAAATACGTTTCAATGATTTGTCATTAACTTTTAAATCTGCCAACGAAATCCGAAGGAGTTACCATTCAAATGAAACCTCTTCGGCAGATGTGTTGCACAGTTTCATTGATTGAAATGCTTGCCATTTGATTAACTTTGGCCTCTATCAGGGGTGAAAGGGCGGAGTTAACAAGCTTTATGGCTGCCGACAACCGCCCACGTAAAGCCCAACGGGGCGAATTGGAGGGCGGAGCTGGTCGGCTCGGACCACTGCATCATCAGAAAGGATGGATTTGAGATTCTTCTAAGTTGGTACACGCAAAAGGTAGCGATTAAACTTTATTCGAGGTCTTTTGATAGTAAGACACTCCTGGCGTAGACTAATCACTTCATTCCTCCGTGTGTTCTCTTGGCCTCGCTATCAAGTTAGGCTTTGGCATACCGGAAACGTAAAGACTCTTTTCTCTCTGCTCCCCCCCGGGGGGTACTCCTAGGTTTACATTTGAACGCCAACAGAAAAGATTTCGAATTCGCATATTTCTCTTCCTTTCTAATTCAGAGGGAATTGAAACGATAAAGTAGTTCCCTCGAAAACCATACCAAAATGGGGAAAGTCTATACCCGTCATTCAGATCAAACGGCGCAGAAACATACCTTTATGGCTTATATAAGGGACTACCCCCGGGTCTCTCCTTCAAACGCGCCGTTCTAGGCCAGGCCTGGTTCTAGGCAAGGCTTAGCCGCTTTTGTAAAACTTTTAAATCAATCAACTTAACTTAACTTATAAACTTAATCAACTTAAGGTGGCTCCGTAATTAATACAAGAGCTTTTAGCTGGGACAAATTTTCCGTCATAACTTTTTCGATTTTAACGCGATGGCTGCGAAACTTTGCAAAGAACAACAAATATCATTCGGCAATAATGCGAAATATTCCGATTTCATTGATGGTAAATATTTCTTGAGAAATTAGCGCTTGAAAGGACCCTAATGTTCAAAGAAAATTGCGTCTAGTAAAAAATTTTGCTGATATTTTTTACTGAAATTTCTGGTATTGGCTTTAATTGATATAATAAATATGCCAGAGGAATTTCAGAAAAATCGTTGGAGCAGAAGTCCGTAACTAAAAGTCGCTCAAAATTCAGCTGTGAAATTGTTTTGGAATTTCAAAAATAAATTACTATCAGGAAGAAGGAGACACCAGTTTCAATTTTCGGAACAAGTAAATTCAGTGTTTGCTAATTCTGAAAACAGAAGCCGATTGCCTATCGTGCTATTCTTTAAAAGGTACTTTTTAGTTTTAGAAGCACTTGCAGAGCGAGGTGAAGAAAGATAACTATTGCTCTCAATTCCGTGCGGCCGGAAACCATGTAGGCCTGATGACAGAAGCCCATGCTGATGAATCAACTATAAAGAGCTTTTTAACCAAATTACCAGGATTTTTAAAAGATTACAATAATTATTTGGCCTTGACAGAGCACAATGCAAAGCACTAGCTACCTGCGGGCCCGTGTTCTTTAGTGAATAATTTGGGAGGATGAAAAATAAAGATTATTGCTGTTGTTATTGTTGTTGTTGGAGAAACTGACCAACAGAAAAATTCACAGCAGCATTGCGCAAAATAAAAGCAAACTTAATCTTCCCGGAAAGAGAATTAAGCACCGGATACTTAATACGATTTCGGCAAAATATTAAGATAGCTTGAAAACAGTGGAATATCGTGACTCCATCAATTGATACGTGTAGGCCGTCTAGTGATCCATATCGCTCTTTCAAATCCCAACATCGATCACCCGCAGGATCCTCGGTCAGGGGTGTGGTGTTTTCTTACGCTACACAAGTCCAAACGCTTTTATTTTTTATGTTAAAGGCATTATTTACTCGTGATGTCATATGTATGTTGTACGTTTAGTGTAGGTGTAAGCCCTCACGATGAGCTCTTAAGAGCTCTTGGAGCAAACATGTATTCAAATATGTTTAAATATTTGAATATTCGTACGGGACCCGTAAACTGACGTGTACTTGCTATTCATACGGGATTAAGTCTCTTCTTGAAATTGAAGTGAAATTTCTGGTCAGCAAATTTCCATGAAAGTGTAAGGACCTGTAAGTCCTTTAAATCACTGTTCAATGTTAAAGGAAAAAAATTCAGTGGCAACTTTTAAAGGAAAAAAAAATCAGTGTGGCTAGATTGAGAATCGACACCGGGGCGTAGAATCTACAGTTCGTAGTCTTAACCACTATACAACGAAGTATACGCTGGTGAAGTGGGTTTAATTTTAAATTATATAGCAACAACCGTAATCTTCAATAGAAGCTAGCCGAGTGCTTACCGTAAATCCTCTATTAAGCCCCCCTCTCAAATAAGCCCCCTCCCTCTAATAACTCTCCCTTTTCAGGGGGAGAAAGTTAATAAGCCCCCCTCCCCTCCCCTAATTATTCTTCACCAATAAATGATAGACTGTATTACTTAAATGAGCCCCCCCTCGTCTCAAATAAGCCCCCTCGTCTCTATTGAGGTCCCCTTAAATGGGCTTGAAATAAATAAATAAGTCAGGATTTACGGTAACCCTAATCAGAATATGGTCAGTGTTTAGCCCTAATCACTATTTTCGTAGCTTAACCCTTATGCTTAACCTTAATCAGTTTAGTCAGAGTCCCGTATGAATAACAAATACAAGTCGATGTACGGGTCCCGTGCGAATAGCCACTAGAAACTTGACATTGAGAAAGACGACTGATACAGAGAGAGGGGGCACTTATTAGAGCAGGGCGTCTAATGCAATTTTAACAGCGTAGAGGGGGCGTTTATTGGAAGTAGGCGTTTATTAGGTGATTACGGTATGTACGTTTTTTTTTAGGGGGGGGGGGGATCGGGGCAGTTAACCCTTATCCCTATCATTATGATACCTGTTATCCCTAAATCCGCCACGAATTTTTAATCATCCCTAAAACCCCTAAAAGCCGGGACTCACCGACTATGGTTGTTTATAAACCTAATAAATCATCTTTCCTTCTCCGAAACTGCTACATGACCTCTTCAACGTTCAAGAGATCCCTCCAGAAAAATAAGGAACGTGACCTGCATGTGAATGAGTAAATTAGCACCCACGAAAAAATTGTCTTAAAAACCAAAATTAGTGAATCACCAAATGAAATCAATCAAAGGCAGATAAAAGACAAAAAATTTTGTTTTTAAAGCAACGCCCAACATTGTTGGATGATACATTTTGCGTCCGTTTGCACACCCTGTTGCACGTTGTTGCGTGTTGTTGGGAGTTAACCAGTTAAGTTTGAAACCGGTCAAAGTATAGCTACGCCAACAATGTTGGGAGTTGTCGCGTTCGTTTGCACGTACCATTACCATTTAAATGAAACCTCTTGGACAGAACTTTTGCACAGTAATATTTACAAAAAAAAATATTTGTGAATTTTTGACATTAGCCAGGTGTAAAAGGCTAATCATGGCGAATTTGACAATCCTTGTAGCTGCTTAAAGGCCGGAACTGGTAGACTTAATTAAGACAATTAGCTGAAGTACTTCCTCAGGAAAGGGAGGTAATTGTGATAGGATTTGATCTTCTCTTAAGTAGGTGCGAAAAGTTGATAGTAGTGAGGAAGGAAATAAGCACTCAATAGCCAATAACTCTCACGCATTTTATCCGCCCCTAACGTGTTCTCTAGTCCTCGCTAACAAGTTGACTTCATCATACCGAAAGGACCCTAACTTCCTCAGGGCAAAAGCGCCGTATTTGACAGTAGTTAGTTTTTGTAAAACTTATACGGCTATTTCGAGAAAGCTTGTCGGAAAAAATGTGCACGTGACAATCCCGAAAGGTAACAGAGCGACGATCGGGAATAGGTCAGCTGTTCGCAGGCTATTCTGGAAATAGCTGTATGTTTAAAATTTAATTTTCTTGCAAAGCGAAGCAGTCAAGAGACCCCCGCCGAGAGGTGAAGAAATATTGTTTGAAAGAAAAAGCTCTTGAACCTGCGAAGTCTTTGAAAAGAACAGAAAAGCTCATGTGAAGTTTACGTGTTGGTGACAGCTGATGAGTCGTTTAACTCCAGCTATAAACGGTCAAATAATATCAAAAGTTATTAACCAATAACAAAAATAATAATTGTTTGAAGCCCCATCTCAGCATTTGGCACTTTGTTACAGACAGTGCATGGAAGCACGTAGACTTACTAGCATGCAAACCAAGTTGGACCAACTGACCAGGCAACTGATCAACAGAAACCAGAATTAAACCAAATAGGAAAAAATAGACGAAGTAAAAGTTTAAATCAAAAATAAAATAAAACTTAAACACTTTAATCGTTAAGAAGTTGACAAGCCGTGAACTTGGCCCACAACACGACACAAAAGCGAACAACAAGAGACACCCGAACTTGCTGACCCGAACTTGCTGACAGCAGCCCGCCCCTCTGAACAATGGACACTTCGAGTAAGTTTGAGTACCTTTCCATTGTTTTGAACGGGTTATTATTTTCAATAAATGGAAGGGCGGCTCACTACAGTGGAACAGGAGGTCATTATTACGAATAATAGCTTACTGCTCCAGTGGCCACAATAATGACCTGCTGGTTCTAAAGCAATGGAAAGATACATTAAATAGAATAACGCCCTGGCGCTGCACCCTCGGTCATTATTTTTAAGAAGGCCTCGAAGCTCATTATCCTATATTTCTTATCGCTGCCACTCAAACAAACACTTGAAAGACAGAGTAATCGAAACTGATTCTCACACAGTGAGAAATGTTCTTCATTCCCTGAAAAGCATTACATAATCTAGCTCATGTAAGGTTTACCTGTTAGTGACAGCTGATAAGTCATTAAACTCCAAAAGTTATTTTAAAACCAATAACAAAAAATAATAGAATAATTGTTTGAAGCCCCATCTAAGCATTTGGTGCTTTGTTACAGACAGTGCATGGTTGCCTACAGAAGCACGCAAATCAAGTTGGAGCAACTGACCGGGCAACTGACCAACAGAAACCAATTTAATCAAAAAGGAAAACATAGACGAAGTAAAAGTTTAAATCAAATATAAAATAAAAGCGCAAACTTGACGAGCCGTGAACTTGCCTCACAGCACGACACAAAAGCGAACAAAACCATGGTTTCCGGAAAATCAAGAGACACCCGAACTTGCTGACAGCAGCCCGCCCCTCTTAACACTGAACACTTCGAGAATATTTGAGTATTTAACGTATTTTAAAAAGACTTATTCTTATCGTTGCCAAAACAAGGTCTCATTAACTACACTTGAAAGACAGAGTAATCAAAACTGATTCCACACAGTATGTTTTTAATTGCAGCAGCTTCTAATACAATTTTCGCCATTTCAAGGGGGCGGGGGGGGGGGTGTACTCCCTATAACGGCCTATACGGGGAGGCTCCGCCCGAAATGGGTACCTTTTTCAGGCTTCAGGTGTATGAAAGGGTAGGGATTTTACTCGTTGTAGTATATGAAAGAGTAGAGAAATCTGTCATTTGGGTCTGTGAAAGGGCCCAAAGGGCCGAACAGATGAATTTTATGACTTTGTAAAGTCGGGAAAACGTTCTATTTGTGTGATATTTTTGTTCTATTTTTGATTCCTATTTAAATGACAATGCATTTACAGCAGTTAAAACAATGTAATTATATCCAGCAGAAAATGCCAGGGTCATTAATAAGTGGAGCAGGGTGATTGGCTGTATATATGTGGGCGGATTGGGGGGCGGAGCTGATGCAAGTAGTTTAAAAACTGCGGTCGCAAGTTAGGGGTTGCACAAAACTTGCACAACGCTTGTGTGTACGTCCAGTCTGCAATCAGCTAACGTTCTTCGCTTGAACTCAAAATGACTCTTTACTTCGGCGGTCGTATTCTCACTATGGTTGGAGAGACGGCGCAGTATGTCGAAGCTGTCGTGGAAAAAGACGGTAAAATAGCCTTCACTGGAAGCCTAGCAAACGCCGAAGCTTTATTCCCTGACGCGGCCAAGCTCGACCTCGAAGGCCGAACCATGATGCCAGGACACATTGACCCTCATCTTCATCCTTCCATGGCGGCCCTGATTTTGAGAATGGATTTCATCACCCCGTTCGACTGGACTCTTCCAAGTGGTTTGTACAAAGGCGTAAGGACCCAAGAGGAATACCGAAGTCGCCTCAACGATCTGATTAATGCAAAAGCCAAGCCCGACCAGCCTCTAGTAACTTGGGGATATCACCAGTATTTTCATGGCGATATGAGCAGAGAGATCATAGACGGAATCAACAACACCGCCAAGAACGCACCAGTCGTGGTGTGGCACCGAAGCTTTCATGAAGTGTACCTCAACACCTTCGCCCGGAACCAGCTGGACGCTGACAAGCAGGAGGAACTGAAGAATAACCCGCAAGTGGAATGGGATCTCGGTCACTTCTTTGAGATGGGTTTGGATGCTCTAATGGCCACCGAGTACTTCTCCACAATTGTTATGCCAATGATGATGTCTGGCTACGATGATTTAGTGCAGGTATAAAATTATATTTTATTGACTACAGATTTTCACAATTAGAATACCGTAAATTATCAAACCACAGGCGTTTCAAGCTCACGTTACGTTACGTTACGAGTGTGGAATGTAATGTTAGGGCGCGTTTCGTTACTAAAATCCGAGATCAGATAAAAAATTCGGATTATAAGGATCTTTCATTAAGAAATGAAACAATGTATCCAAAAACGGATTATTTTTCTTTAATTTCCATAGACACGACCCACAATATCGACGGTATCCGTATCGCGCATCGCCTTTCATTGTATTCTTTACGGTTAGCTCAAGGGTACTGCTTTAGACAAGCCAAGTAACAGGGGCACCCAACGACAATTTTTGGAAAATATGTGTTCGGAAGACGATTTGAGATCTAGAATTTTCGGAACATTTGTTGTAAAATTTCTTGCTTGCCTGCCTCTCCTAGGATTTTCGAACATCTAAAAAATGGTATAGTTGCCCATTTTTAACGGATTTTTACTAAAAGGTCACCTAGAATTTTCGGGAGCCTTTTTTCTGACCGAAATTTTCGAAAAGGTAAGTTTTGATCCCTCTAATTTTCGGATCACTAGACTTTCAGCTAGGAAATCCAAACAGATGAAAAATTTTTAGGGGATAAAAATATGCCTATATCTACCGCTTAAATACTAAAATACGTTCAGCAATGCTATGTATGTTTCAGTGGTTTTAAACTATATTCCCGTTGGGTGCCCCTGAAGTAAAGATGCGTCTCGCGGTGATTTTGTTACCTCTGCGTCCTGCGACGCATAAAAATTGTCGAAGGCACAAAATAATTAATGACATTCCTGATACGCGTCCTTTACTAGGAAGCAAAGAACGATCGATCGATCTCGGGGATCATGTGTGTTAGAGTTTTCCGATTAAACTGAATTGGAAAGACCTTTTCCGCCTTTTTAGGTAATAAGAAGCAAAGTGGTGTTTGATTCAATTTGCACAATACAATTGCAGTAGTTATTCATTGTTTAAAAGCAGTTTGAGTTTAAAGCATCACGAATACCTGCGAATACACAAGGTGGAATGCAAACTTATTTTTTGTATGAAAAATCTGCTTCAAAGCAAACAAAGCTACCAAGGGTAGCAACAACAACGAGCTTTATTCACATGACCATACGAGTACATACACTATTGCAAAAGTTATTTTTAGGAATCAAAATTACATCATAGGGCAATTACGTTACTTTGATAATAATTTGTCACGAACATCAACAGGTAGCAGCATTGGAAAATACTGTGATAGTAGAATTTTATCAATAAAGTACTCAAAATATCACAGCACATGTATGGCAGAGTATACCCCTCTATAGTGGAGGCGGTTTCTCAAGAGCACCTCCTGGTGAAATAGGTTTCATGAAAAAATATTTTTCAAAGCCAGCGAGAAAATAAACTTAAATCATGCATAGTAGACTAGAAACGTGAGATCAAGTGGTTTTACATTTTCACATATGATTTGTGCATTCTGTTTTCTGACAACTTATTCAATTTATGTGGGCTCTCACTTGTGAAATGCGCTCGTAGATTTAACCTAAAAGAGTTAGTTTTGACTTAGTGAATATTTTGACTGAGCGGGAAAATGTGTTCCATACAAGTGCATTTTCCCCTAAATCTGAAAAACTCTATTTGAAGAAATATCCGCCCCGTTCGCGTAATTTCTGTGGCAATTATTATGGCTGTTGTTTAACGATGCATATTTCTTTTCGCCTTTGTTGTGCTTTAAAACAGGGGCCCCCAACGACGGTTTCCTTAAACATAGGCACGTTAAACGTGCATGAGCTATTTTGAATACTTCGGTGTAACCTTACCAAGAATGATGAATCTACCTTTTTCATCCTAAATGTAGATTTGGTTTTTGCGCGAAATTGGGTATTGCGCTACATAAATGAAAACGCGAAACGCTCAGCTGAGTCGATCCTCAACCTATATATTCACTTTCCTCTGTCTTTCCCTGTTACATCTGGTGCAAGTTGAACAAATTGTTAAAGTAAAATAAATTTATACTCACCAAACGTTGATTAGAAGGAAAACTCTACGGTTTCCTCGAAGTTTCTTAAGCCAAAATGTGACTCATCGAATACTGGTACTGAGTAGTTACGAAATACAAGGATTTTTATGATTGTGGTAGATAGTTGCATCATCATAATTCACGAGGTTTTCACGTGCGATTCTACTCAGTGAAACAGTCTTTAACTCCGACAACTTATTTCATGTTTTAAAAGCTATTGCTTCTTAAAAGACAAGAGCCTTTTTTAAGGCATTGGTTACAAAACGAAATAGGTCTTCATACGTCCAAGTTACTATTTATCATTGTGAAAAGCCAATCTGCATGAGATGTACAGTCACACAGCTGGCACGTGAAAGTGTTGGACTTTACCCCCTTTCGTGGTTTGTACGTGAGGGAATTCGAGTTATCACACAGTAATCTAGTAAACAGAATTATAAAAATAACTCTTGCACACAATTTGCACGTGAAGATGTTGGTCTTTGGCCCTTTTACAATTCGTACGTAAAAAAAAGGCAAATTGTTTACTACAAAAGTTTCTCAAAAGATTTTAAGAAATCACCTCGGCTTCATTACAACATCTGCAATTAAATTATGTTTCATGCAACGTCAAGGTTGATAACCTAACATTTATTAACATTTGTGAGACAATCTTTAACTCCGACAACTTATTTCTTCATGTTTTAAAAGCTATTGCTTCTCAAAGGCAAGAGCGTTTTTTAGGGCATTGGTTACTAAACGAAACAGGTCTTCATTCGTCCAAGTTACTATTATTATTGTGAAAAGCCAATCTGCATGAGATGGACAGTCACACAGCTGGCACGTGAAAGTGTTGGACTTTGCCCCCTTTCGTGGTTCGTACGTGAGGGAATTCGAGTTATCACACAGTAATCTAGTAAACAGAATTATAAAAATAACTCATGCACACAATTTACATGTGAAGATGTTGATCTTTGGCCCTTTTACAATTCGTGCGTAAAAAAAAAGGCAAATTGTTTCACTACAAAATTTTCTCAAGCGATTTTCAGAAATCACCTCGGCTTTATTACAACATCTGCAATTAAATTATGTTTCATGCAACGTCAAGGTTGATAGCCTAACATTTATTAACTTCCAAGAAAATTATCAAACTGCCGAAATATATTTCTACTTGTATCATGTTACTCCACTCAATACAACAGTATCTAATTATTGTGTCAACTAGCTTCTTCCAATTTTATTCCCTAACGCTACTGTTTTTACTTAAGTTACGCGTCTTTACTAAATAAAATACGTTTCAGAAACTATAATACTTAGTATGCAGGAAGGATGTATCATGTTGTTCACTTATTATTCTTTTTTTTTTGTTTTGCCAGAACGAAAAAGGTCTGTTGAACTTTGTAAGCGAGAGAATAATATTTTTAAAGCTTGTTTACAGGATTAACAATACTCGGTACAGCTTTCACAAAAATAAGCTGCCTTTTTAAACTTCTAAAACCACATTTTATAGGGCGCATACTTTCGAATTAAAGTCTATATCTAAATATCAATTATTGCTTCATTGGAAGAGCTTTGAAAATATATGATCTTTTATACTCTACCCAGTTGTAGCAGGTGAAACAGAACTCATACTGACGTGCGTTGTACTGATAGCCGAATTAGGTTAGAAATGCCTTGAAGCAGCATCCATACTAAAATATGAACCCTTAAACAGCTGCATCATTGTACACAGCGTTTGAATAATGAAGATATTTAATGTAATTCTTCCAAACACCTCTAGCCGTAATAAAAGGCGAAAAAATTGTGAAGAATAAAGATGGCGGTCTCAAAGTGCCCTTGTTCGACCTTTACCAATGTCATGTTTAAGTAGATGCTAAGATCTCATTGGTTCCTAAGCATCAACTAATAGTACCTTCAACCTTATTGGCTCTTGCAACAAACATCCGAACATACAAAGTTACAAAGATACAAAGATACAAAGCCACAAAGATACATACGCTCACACCACTGACATATGAGCTATTTTTTCAAAATAGCTCAAAAATACGTTGAAAACACTTTTTAGGTTATCCAGAGCACTTTTAGATCTCTAGAAGTGCGTTCTAAGCGGCGCTACAAAATTTTTATCTGTTCGGTCATCCTTTTCGAAATTAAAGGGGCTTCAGTATTAATTTTCCGAAAATTTGAGGTGTAATTTAACGTTTTACGAAAGTAAGAATTTTTCTGATTCCTCTCTCCATCACATTTTAGAATCCGAAAATTATAGGTTTCCTTTTTCTGGGAAAATTGTGTAACCTGGGTAGTAAAGTATGAAAAATTAAACTTCAGAAAATCGTAGGGAATTTATTACGAATTGTACATGAATGGAAAGTTCATCTAGAAATTTTTAAGCCGCTCCCAAGCAAAAGAAAATTCTACGCAATACTTTCTTCTCCGAAAAGATATTTTACAGAAAACAGTACTTGGGTGCCCCTGTTTAAAATAGAAGGACTATAATGCGACTATAATTTAATTTCAATATACTGTAAGAAAGGGACATGGGGATTTACGGTATTGCGGTATTGAGCTTTTTTTCAAGCGGTATTTGGTAATTTTGATTTAATGTGCGGTCATTTTGCTGGCGTGAGGTCTACATTTGGAAGATTTCAACATATATTCCAAAAAATCTTGAATATTCATGACCTTGTTGTGGGTCTCTTTGTGATGGGAAGACTAATTGAAACCATGAAAATAAATGTTTCTATGTGGAAACTTCGCTCTTAAACCATTGCAAATCGGAGAAATCATGTCAAATAACGAGATAATGTAATTTTCTTACTTTTATTGGAAATCGAGTGAGAAAAAAGCCGAAGAGAAAACGATGGAATCTGCCATAACTGCGATATTGCGTGATGCTTCTGGAAAAAATGCATCATAGGATATATACTATTCGATCGTCGTCTGCGGATCACGTATCCAAAGTATCCGGTGTGGATCATTTGGATCAATAATCAGTTGTTGGATTTAAGTAAAGAAACGAACTATCCGTTTTTGGATTAAAAATACGGATTTGGATTTTAGTAAAGAAACGCACCCTTAGTATATCCATGGAACTGACCTAATTTGACCTGTTACCATGCCCCCCCGGGGCATACCCCAGGGATTTGCATGTTTTTTCCTGGTGGTCACACCATCCCAGGGCACACAGAAGGAGACAATTCGCCACTCCCTATCTCCTGATCGACTTCATATAAGTTTTTTGAGGGTATATCAATACAATAGCAAAACGAGACGTTTTCTGAACTTTTTCTAGAGTCTATTGACAGAAGAATAATACATTTACGGCGTTACAACGTGAACAATACATTTGAAAGAACACTTTATAAGAACACTTGACCGAATCTCTGTTTACTATATATAGCCTTGTACCCACTTTCATCCATCTTTTAAAGTTGTCTTAGTTTTAAACTAGAATGAAGAAATATTTCTTTGTTTCTTTTGCAAAACAAAGGCATTCAAGTACCAGGGGCGGATCCAGGATTTTTTTTTTAGGAGCGGGTGTACTCGTCTCTTGCTCTACTTCAACACCAATAAACCACATAGTTTTTTTTTTTGCAGAATACCAGTTGTATTAGGAAACCACAGGTAATCTCAGGGGAGGGGTGCACCCCCCAGATCCGCCCCTGAGTACGCACCATTCGCTAGCATATTCGCTTGAAATTTTAAAACATACCTCCAAATACGGACTTTAATTTTGAGAGCTCATTCCTCTTCAACCACTCTAAGAAAAATTCCTGCATTTTCTCTTAAAAATACATAGTCTTAAGTTCCAAAGCTTCGTGCAAACCACGTGAGACAGGAGCCGATTACAAAAGTTATTTTTGATTTGCCCCAGCCCATACCCCCGGGACAGGACCGCTTCAAACAATTCCCCACCCACTGGCCAGAAAAGCTGGACTTGTGGTAACACGTCAAATTAAGGAAACACACCCTTACTTTCACACAAGAGAGTCGGTGTCGCGTTACAGGCGACCGTTGAGACGTTGTATGAGAATTAATATACCGAGGTCTGCGAACGCTAAATATCATTATATTTTACCTTTTCGTCTATAAAATGAATCAGGGAGAGTTACCATTGATGTATTCCTGTGATTTTTGGTGTGAATTCATCGATTTAGTCGTTCTTTTTGCTGTTATGGTGTTCCCCCGTGTAACTCCCTTCAAGTTTTACAGGGGTCACACAATAAAAAACGACTAAATCGATTAATTCGCACCGAAAAAACACAGGAATACATCAAAGGTAAGTCTCCTTTATTTTTTGAAGACGAAAAGGTAGAGTATAATGATATTTAGCGTTCGCAGACCTCAGTATTTTCCGGGATAGACTGTTCACAGTCCCCTATGTTTTCGTGAGATAGTTTAGATATACCGCGTCTTACCGCCACGGCTATCTTGATTTGCAAATGTACCGAGGGGGCGAGCGTCGGGGATTATAGCTCTAGGTGTGTTCACAGTCTCCTATTTTTTCGTGAGTTCGTTTAGATATACCGCGTCTTACCACCACGGCTATCTTGATTTTCAAATGTACCGAGGGGGCGGGCGTCGGGGATTATAGCTCTAGGTTTTTCTCGCTTCCTCCCAAACCGCTCCCCGCCCCCTAAGTAGTTTTGACACTCATGCAAGATGGCAGGCCCTAACGTAGCCTGCGAACCGCAGACGCATTTCCGGTCGTCGCTTCTCTCCCTCCGAAAAATAGCTATTTTTCGGAGGGAGAGAAGCGACGACCGGAAATGCGTCTGCGGTTCGCAGGCTAGCCCTAACGCAGAGCGCTCGATCTCGACGATCTTACGGAAAAATAGAGGACTGTGAACAGTCTATTTCCGGGAGTATTTTATTCTCATAAAACGTCTGACCCGTCGCCTGTAACGTGACACCGACTCTCTTGTGAGAAAGTAAATTTACATCCCACACTCGGAAAGTGAGCTTGGGACACCTGTGCTATACCAGGCAACTTTATAATGGGGGGGGGGAATACTTCCTTATAAGAGGCTAATGGGGATGTGTCGGTGGATGGGGTCGCATTTTCACGCCTGGATTGACTAAAATGGGGTCGCACATTTTCGGATTTTGGGGGTAAAAAGATTCTATTAAGTAGGGATTCAAAATGGGAAGATTCTCGGTTAAAAAGGTCCGAAAGTTGTTGTTTATTATTAGGTATAAAGTAAAGTGTTCTTCACTCAATTTAAAAGTGTGTCAATCAATTGGAAATAAGGTAGATGCAAAACTAAAATAGGGATCGCGAAAATTATATTTGCCCAAAAGTGACCAAGACGGGGTCTATAATTGGCCACAGAACAGACTATAATGGGGTAGGGGCGCCGAGCCGCTTGCAGCACATACACAGCAAATTAACCAAAAAATTAACCAAAGTACCTCCCCCCTCCCCTCTCCAAGCTTTATAAACACATCCTTGTTGTGGATCACATTTGTTCGACTTTCTTTCTGCTGCGGCTGCTAATCTCATAAATTTTTAACCGGACTCGACTCTAGTTGATCACTTGTTTTCACGCGACAATAAATCACACATGGGGCACTGATAAAAGCAAAGCTGTGATTGGAGGAGTTACCGTACCGTAAACGTGCCGCGAACACCTTCCAGGAAATGAGAGCTGAAACAGGAATGTGGTTCGATTCCTAGCAAATATCAAGAAAGTTAATAATTAGCAGAGTGTTCAGTCAATCCGATTGATACGCGTAAGCCGTCCAGAGATCAATGTCGCCCTTTCAAATCTTAACTTCGATGTCAGAATACTCGCTCAGAGTCATAGAGTCCACAATACTGTTCATTTTGATATAAAAAATTTTTTGCTTAAAAACATTGAAAGAAATTTTAAAAAACGTGACGTTTCGACGTTGTCGGACGTCGTTATCAAGTCAAAAGAAAATAGAATTTGAATGTTCTATAAATACAAGAGAAAAAAATAATACGTCATTAAAAAGAAAAGTAACATATCAAAATACTGTATGTTACTAGTTAAACAAAGAGTTTTTTAAAACATATTCTAAATGTGTTAAAAATTGCTTCTTTTTGAACTGTTGATCTTGTTACTTTTTTTGTCCGGGTGGGAAGAGGGGGTGGCATTTCCTTGCATGGCCTAAGCAGGTATGTGCCGCTGAACCGGGTATGGGTTTAAGAGTCTAGAGTCTTAAACAGGGGATACGATTACACTATTTAGTGTCTTGAACAGAGTGTCCTTTTTTGACATGAAGCCTTAAACATGGACGAAAACGTTTACATTTTTATGCCGGTGCACGATCTACATGTGTAGAGCCAACAATTTTTCTCCAAAAAATGCAAATGTGCAAATCCCCCGGGGGGTCCCCTAAGATGGCCGCTGATACCGTAAGTGCAAAGTTAAATGATTTGTCTGTTTATTTGGGTTATGCAGATTGTTCACCACAACGGGCTCACCGCCGTTGCTGATCTAGAGTTTCCTTTGGTAAATGAAGAACTGGAGCAACAAAAGGCCGAGGAGATTCTGAAGAACAAGAAGATCTCACATTTCTCTACCTACTTGGTTCCCAGTGCTCGAAATTACTCTAAGATGTATGGCGGAGACAACCAGAAGGCTATAGAGCACATCCAAGATCTCGCAAAGAAATTAAGTGACGATCAACTGGTTCTCTACAACAACCATGTCAAATGTCTTTGTGACGGAGCGTTCTATTCACAGCTGATGCAGATGAAAGACGGATACATAGACGGACACGATGGTCAGTGGATCATGCAGCCAGAAGAACTGGAGGAAACCATGCGGGTTTACTGGAGAAATGGCTTTCAGATCCATGTACACACCAATGGAGACCTTGGCATGCAGAAGCTGCTGGAGGTCGTGGAAACCCTCAACAAGGAGTCCCCGAGAGAAAACCATCGAGTCACAGTGGAGCATGCTGGTTACTTTACTGAAGACCAAGCTGATAAAATCGCTCAGTTGGGCTTATTGGTGTCTGCAGCCCCTTACTACTTCTACACACTGGCTGACAAGTATAGCGAAGATGGTCTCGGAACTGCAAGGGCTCAAGCCATGGTTCCAATGAAATGGCTCTTTGACAGGGGCGTGGTTACAGCCTTCCACTCCGACTTCACTATGGCACCGTCGGCGCCTCTCCTGCTGGCCTGGAGTGCCATCACCCGCGTTACAGCAGACGGGAACACGTACAGAGAAGATCTCAGGGTGACACCCTATCAAGGCATGCTGGCCATCACCAAGAACGCCGCCATAATCTTGGGCACTGACGACATCATGGGCACCATTGAAGGAGGAAAACTCGCCAATTTTACAATCCTGGAGCAGAACCCACTAGCGGTGGAGCCGATTGACATCAAAGATATCAAAATCTATGCTTCAGTTTACAAAGGGAAAATGTACATGACAAGCAAGACGAGAGTCTAATGCCTGATTCTGGTTGATTTCAACAACGATATATCCAATCTTTGGCAAGAACAGTACAGTTGATTTCCATTTGATTTTGCCGCACTTAGACAAACTTTCAATAGGTACAGGTTTAGGTTGTCAGTAGTATACATGCACAACAGTTCGATTGTATGCGTTGATTGAATCAATAAACAGCGTGAAAAATGAAAATGCAACACGATTTCGCGTCTGTCCCCAGTCTCACTCTCCGTTTTCACCCTCACCTCAGACCTTGCTCCAGACAGTTCAGGGCCCAGTTGTTCGAAGGCTGATCAGCGCAAACCCAGGGTTAAATTTTAACCCGGGTCTCTTTTTCTTTTCATCAAAAGCATTTTCTCGGACAATTTTCTCTATTCTTTTTAGCGTAGCCAAGCTTTAAGCTTTCATATCTGAATTCAAATTTCGAACTAACCCTGGGTTATCTTAACCCAGCTTTGAACAACTCGTCCCAGATCATTAATATATGTTCCTGGGAAACTGTCCACCTACCCCTCCCCTAAGCCAACATTAACACTGACTTCTCACTTAGGGCAAAATATTGGCTCAGGAGAGGGGTAGGTGGGCGGTTTACCAGAAACGTATAATGATCCAGTTCAGCTGTTTTGTAGTCTAGATTTCTTTCGTTTCAACATCAAATGTTCCCAGGCAGTGATCACACAAAATGAGCCAAAGGCATGAGCCTGGGTTCTTCAAAAGAAGGTTACGGCGACGGCGTTACAGAAATGACTTTCACATGCTGCTAAATCAGAAATATATGTATATATATATATATTATGCAGCAGTTTCTGAAAATCATATTCATATTATAAGTAGTGCTGAATGTTTTTGCATATGTTCTAGAAGGCAATAGTTTGAAGCCACGCATTCATAGACTCCAAAGCATTTCAAGCAAACACACAAAGGAAACCATGGCTATTTGGAGAGCAAATATAAATTTACTTAAAATTTTGTGTCAGTTTTCAAGTCACTAGTTAAATTTCTTATTCACCTTTTTCATTTTGCAGTGTGACTGTGAGTTCAAAATTTCTAATCCTCTGTGGGGAAAGACCCTTTTTCCCCACAGTGGACTGGACCTACACACAACGTACCCGGAAGTGATCATTTGTCTAACTGCCGTATTGCCTTAACAGTGATGGATCATTTGGGAGGGTTCATCAAACACTTAATATCTTTAATATCATGGGTGACAAATAACTCCTTAACTTTGGCGCGAAATGTCGGGAAATTATTAGAATTTGGACAAAACGCGGGTGAAATTATTCTCTGTTGTAATTTCACTCGTTACTATTTGATTACACATACACATCCAGTCAACTCAAATTTTCTCCTACTTTTCTAGGATAAGAGACCTTTGATAATGGACGTTTCAGCGAATGTTGGGGAAAAATCTGGGTAAACGAACAAGGTTTTTAGCTGTATAGTGTGGACGAAAGGGCGAATACCAGATAAGGAAGAGATATTAGTAGTTCTGACTATTAATTTTATCTTCGCGATTGTAGAGATCGATAACCGAGTTTGATAGACCACCACCTATATTTCATATGTTCAGCGAAGACGAAACTTAGGGAAAGTATACGAAATAAACACCTGATACTTTAAAAAACATTAAACATTCTGTGGTTTGTCCGGTTTACCTTTAACTTTAACTCTGCTATTACAAGAATAACTTTAAATTATTGTACAATTTAAAAAAGAATAAAAATACAGTTAAAAATATGTTAAGGCATGTGACCTTGAGCGCACTCACTATCACAGATAATCATGAGAAATAAGAATAAAAGCTACATTAACAGTCACAGGAATTTTGTGTTAAACATATCATCATAAAAGGAAATGAGGTTCCTGCGAAAAATTGACAAGGAGGACGAGTCCCTGATTTTGAGAGATAAAAAATACGGATAAAAAAAGAATTTTTAAAAGTTTCTGTCCAACTAAAAGGGACATCTAGCGTCAGATGGTCAACGTTTCTTAGCGGCTTGATACAAGTGCGAAAAGACACATATTCCATAATATTTAAATTACTCATATCTATACAACACTCTAAAAACAATACGCGATCATTAATTTCTCTACGATACTGTAATGGTAATAAATTTAATTTACTAAGGCTCTCGCGCTCAGAGTAATCCTTACCAAGAATGAATCTCGTGACCCTGCGTTACACCTGTCATAAGTTTGTATTGTTTCTTTTAGTATGCAGCGACCATACCACGCTAGGGTATTCAAGGCGCGATCGAACCCAAGTTATTACGTAAAGTAATTTCTTTGTTCTAGCATCAGTTATTTCTTTACACGTACGATAAAGGAGGTTGAGCATCTTTTGAGCTTTGGAAGTGATAACATCAACGTGCTTATTCCAACTTAATTATCAAAATCCATAAGTCTTTCTCAAAAGCAACACGGTCTAACTTGATTCCCCCAGGGAAATAATCCCTATCAACTGCGGATCTAACACGTGCCACCCTCAAAACCTTACACTTTTTAACATTGAACTCCATTCCACAAGTAACAATAAGTCATTTAACTCATCCTGTAAGTTGTGACAATCGTCCTGTCCAAGGATTAAACGAAAGCACAATAGAATCATCGGCAAAGAGAGGTAACGATGTTTCACGTCAGATTACTTTAGGCATGTCATTAATAAAGATTGAGAAGAGTAAAGGTCCCAGAATTGACTTTTGAGGGACCCCAGATGTAACCAGGAGAAAATCGGAAGACTCATTATCTATCACAACCCTATGTCTTCTGCCAGGTCTTAAGTGCGATCTGAACCACCCCAACAAAGAACATTTAACACCAAGGTATTCTAGTTTAAATAATATGTTTTACGTGGGACACTCGATAGAAAGCCTTAGAGAAATCTAAATAATTGACATCAACGCATTGTCTCATTTCAAGAGCTTTGGTGAATTATTGGACCACTTGGGATAATTCTTGCTGTAACAAGGGTGGCGCACTGGTCAGAGCACTCGCCTCCCACCAATGTGGCCCGGGTTCAAATCCCGGCGTTGAAGCCATATGTGGATTGAGTTTGTTATTGGTTCTCTCTCCCTTGCTCCGAGAGGTTTTTCTCCACGTACTCCGGTTTTCCCTCTGCTTTCAAATTCCCATTCGATCTGGAACGCACGGACACGTTTAAACGAGTTCATATATGAACTCCTAAGTGCTTCGTGGGTAAACAAATTACAAAATTACAATTACAATGATAGACCTACCTGGCAAAAAACCATGCAGCCAATGGTAAGTTGGGGAGAAATTAAACATGAAAAGAAAGTCCCTGTTACGCCTAACATTTCGCAACGGACGTTTGTTTTCCACGGGAGTTTGATCTTGTGATCTCTCACAATGATAACTGAACAAAAAACGTCGACTAAGTAGTAACTTATGTAAGGATATCCAGCAGATAACCTGGGTGTTTTAGAATGCGCGAAAAATAGCTATCAATAAGAAGTTCTTGGCAAGAGGGGACAAAAAGCTGTCGCGCAGAGCGTGCGCGAACGAGCTGCCCCATTCTTCTCGCGGTCTCGCCACAGATTCCGTTTACGCGCTCGAAAAACAAAACCGCCAGCTACGCAGGCTTATCAATTCATTAAATAGACTGAAAAAAAAACATACTTTAGCATTTTTTTTTTCCACTTTTTTTTATTTTGACGTATTTTCCCGAGGTCGGGTATTAAACGCAAGCTTAAAAGGGCAAGTTATAAATCAAGGGGTATGGCAAATTACGAACATTTACCTGGGAGGCGTTGTCCTTAAAAACTGAAAGAAAACGTTTCAAACTTTCCTCAGAAGCTGTGTCCTTCAGTTCTGTGTAAGCAGTGAGAGTTTCTGTTCAAAAGAATTGATATAATATTTGTTAGAATCTAGTAACAACTTGGGAGGAGACTTGAAAACGTTTAATTGTATGTTTGCTTATCAGCCTTAGCAACGAAAAAACAAGAAAAAAAACAATATACACGCCAAAAAAAAAAACAAAAACACATGCCTCATCATAATGCCGAACGAAACAGGACAATCATACCAATACTGCAAAAACTCGCGCAATCATATTCCCCTCTACTAAATATGTTTCAACTTTTGAATTTCATCTATGCATACGGAGGCGTCTCCTATGGGTCAACTCGTATGCTAATGAGCAAAAATGTAAACGATTACGTCAGCAAAGATTCGCCTGATGTATAGATTTAGACCCTGTTTACATGGAGTGGGGGACTCCGGTCTAGTGGGGTAAGTTTCTTTTGTTTTGTGTTCCCCAGAGCGTGAAAACAAAAGAAACGAACCCCACTAGACCGGGGTCCCCCACTCCATGTAAACAGGCCCTTAGCCAGGGCTAAAAGTGAAGCTCTCGTTAATATTTATAGTTAACTCGAACAAAATATAAAATCGTGTAATTTTATGCTAAGGGGCGAAGGCAACGAGAATGATGAAAAAACAACAATAGGTCTAATTAGCAAAAAGGCAACTTTGCACGTGCAGCACACTTTTTTTGTACATTTCTTTGCCGTTGTTTTGCAGGACTACAACGTGAAAATTCCAGAAACTTCCTGGTTACACCTATTAAGGAAGAAATGTCATGTGTGTTCCTGTTCGCTTTTATTCTTCACTGCCGCTTATTTTCACCTTCCTGGCCCGGGTTGCTCGAAGCATGGTTAGTGCTAACCAGCGTTAAATACCATGGAAACCTATACATTTTGATACCTCTTAACCACCGGTTAGCGCTAACCAGGCTTCGAGCAACCGGCCCCTGGCCGCTAGCATTTCTCATTTTCTTACAACCGCATTAAAATTTCCATGTTTTTCTTCCAACGAAACTGGTCACCTTCGCTTTTTATCTCTCTCTCTCTAGCTCTTTCTCTGTTACTCAATGTAGAAATTAAAATGTAGTGGAAGGAAAGACTCGGCTTTGTTGTTGTTTAACTCTCCTTTTTTTTGCTTGAAATGCAAATTTTCTTACCCATGGTGCTCCGGTGCGCGCGCTTCTCGCGCGCGAGAGCTCCGCTATAAGCATGCAAAACGTGTGCGAGCATGCAGTAGGACACAGGGCCATGGTTGGTTTTCACGTTACGTTGTTTCGGACTCATTGTTAAGAGAATATGCTGCGAACAAAATTTCCTATCCTCGTCCTTTCGAGTTCTCATTTGACTTTGCATTGACTTTGAAAAATCTGCCTATTGCTTATACTAGCCAGGAGCAAGAGAATCTGAAGACACTTTATTTCATTCAGTAGAGAGTGCACGTCCCTGCCCAGCTAATCAGAGGAAAAGTCCTTGCATAGTCTATCCTAATACGCTGAGAGTTCAGTTTCACGATATGTTTTCGGCTTCATCACTAGAACAGAGAGGTGGCCTCGATATGAACTAAAAATCGTAACATCTTTACGTCTTTCTCGGTTGTCTTTGGCATTCCGCCGATAAATGAGAACGTCAGAAACAACTTCGGAAAGTCACTACAGATATTGTTTTTTTACAAACCTTCTAATGGCTTGCAAAGAGTTTCTATCAAGTTTCCTTCAAATACTCCATAGGCCTCGCTGTTAATTAAGAAAACATGTTTGGTGAGGTAAAGATATTGAGTGCAAGAATAAGAAGAACATTTATTCTCACGACTCGTTTGCTTGTCGGCCATTTTCGCGATGACGGTATTTGACTACAACTACCAGAATTCATTTCGTTTTTGCTTTCTTATACCACTACATGAGAAATTTCTGCAATTTGATTGGCTTAGAGCAGTGGTATTTCAGCTTAATTTGAAATACCTACATGTGAAATTACAAACCTTTTGCGGGAAGTGGTATAAACAAATAACAGCATGATTTGTACGTGATATTTGGGATAAATACCACTTGTGATATTTCAAAATTGTCTCAAATTTCAGGCGAGTGAAATTACGTATAACAATTTCGAAATATCACTCGTGGTATTTATGCCAAATAGCACTATAAATCATGCTATTACCTGTACTAATTTAATCAACAATAAACCAAGAAAACTACAAACTGAAGGATTCTGGTAGTTGTGGTAAAATGACGCCATCGTGGAAGCATACTGTGAGTTTGTAAGAAGAATTAATATCAATTGATCAGTGATCACAAGCATTCACTTTTAACTTCAAAACTTTATACTCCGAAAGATTGATTTGATTCTCATTACCATCTGATTACACATGTAACGAGAAATGAGAAATTCATCAGTTAACAACTGACGATGGGGAGGAATGTTCATTTGTTTCTTGCACAAATAAAATCTCAACAAAATGAAACGTAAATTCAACCTCGTTCCCAGGGCTTCTCCAATTTCTAAGAAAAAGCCTGGGAGCGAGGTTGATGCATTAATTGTTTTTGAAGACGGGGAAGCTTGAACTAGAAACCTCTGGAATGTGAGGCCCAGTTTAGAATAAGTCAATACAAAAGACCTGAAGAAGATAGTCTCCCTCGCAGCTGTTTCTGTTACGCATTGAGCGTTACGTGACGAGTCAAAAACGCTACGAGGGAGACTAAACAGAAGAAATAGGTGAAAATGCACTCAGATGTAAGGGGCTTAAACTTTAAAACTTTCTTCGCATCAATCGAATTCCAAAAATAATGGTCAAGCTTTGTTATTTAAGACCAAACTTAAGCACTGAAACTACCCTATTTGATCGAAAAATAGCCTTCCCTCGATTAATTGCCTCCGTCGAATAATCGCCCCTCTTTGACGGAAATATTTTAAATAATCGCCTTCCTCGAATAATCGCTTCCCCTCCCACCACCACAGGTAACCCGCTATCGATACCCATAGCGGTAAACCTGGAGGATGAGGCTGAAGGGGAGTCTGATCCAGCAAAACTGATCAGTGACGACGCCGAGGATATTGACAAAGAAAATTAATCAAGGAACCAAATTTGGAAGACTTGAAAAGCCCATGTTCGGTTGCTTTGATGTGATTATTTTTTCATTTAATGGTAGAACAAAATATTTAGGGCACGACTTTCAGTGAACAATATCTGAAATAATAGCCTCCCTCGAATAATCGCCCCCTTTTGGTGCGAAAAAAGAAATAATCGCCCCGGCTATTAGTATAGGTAGTAGCATGATTTGTAGTGATATTTGGCATAAATACCACAAGTTTAAGCCAAATATCACGTACAAATCATGCTATTATTTGTTTATACTACTAGCCAAATATCACGTACAAATCATGCTATTATTTGTTTATACTACTAGCCGCAAAAGGTTTGTAATTTTCACATGTAGATATTTCAAATTAAGCTGAAATACCAGTGCTCTAAGCCAATCAAATCGCAGAAATTTCTTATGCAGTAGTATAATTCGAGGAAATAGGGTATTTGCTGTTGTTTGTTACAACGGATGGCAAGGATGGGCATAGATTAGAAACTTGAAAAATATCTTAAACTCTAGGCCTGGCAAAAATCACCAAAAAAGGTTTTATGGTTATTGCTGCCTGATGAAATTTTTTTGGTATCTTGTTGATAACTCTACAGGAGCGGTTTGTGTACAGGTAAAGGCATAAGTATCCGGGGGGTACTTCCATATGAAGGGGCGGGGATGCTCGTCGGGAATTTTGAATTAAACCCCTTACGGAGACTAATTTGGGCGTGGCCAAACCTTTTTTTGACTCCTAAAAGAGATCATTTTAAACTTTGATTAAATGAATCGAGTAAATAAAACGAATTGAAAATACATAACTTTTTATATTTCTTCGCGTGCAACCCTAAAAGAGAACTTTACGGCTAAATATAATGACCTTTTGAACAGAGCACCCTAAGTGAGAACAAAATCCTAAATTTAAACCCCTAAGCGAGACGACGAGCATCCCCGCCCCTTTCATATGGGAGTCCCCCCCTCTCCGGGCATAAAGTAATGCCCTCAGCAAAGAACTGACCTAAACCAGAAATATGCTCGTGACAATGCAACGAAATATAATAAAAACACTTGCCTTACAGCAGACAACAGAGACTCGACATAGTCATTTTGACATTCATAAACCTGCTGGTGAAATGAGAGCTCCTCTTTGAGAATTTTGATCTAAAGAAAGAAAATTACAGCAACAACACGTCACCAATAAGAACCTTTACTGTCCTGAAATCAATTAGTGTCTCATGTTCTGGGGACTGGGGAGTGAGAAACTCTAAGGGTCGGTTATTTAAACGAAATCTACTGAAGTTAGATCGCGGTTTAGTCAATCTTTGGTCTCGCAAGATCTCTTCCTTAGCGGGTCATTTTAAGAAGACAAATGCGTTTCTAGTCTACGCTATATGGTTTCATGAAACTGTTCACGATAAATGGTGTTTACATAAAAGTGTTCTGCAAACTGATAATGGTTTAGAACGCAGTTTTGTTGAACACTGGCTAAACTCCGTTTAAATAAGTGGCCCTAAAATTCTACTTTTTTCGTATAATACTGCTCACAATATTAATCCAACAGTAATACTAAGATTACCTTCAATTGACCGTACTCCGGGATAAGAATACACAGAAATTTGTTACGAATTCTTTGTAGAGGGTCTCAATCAGGTCAACCGTCAGCCGTCAAACGGCCTAAAATTTAACCGTCAACCGACAATCAAAAAGGGTTATTTTTTACCGTCAACCGTCAAAACATTTCAGCGTATTTCAAATCTCACAATTTCAGCTGATCTTCACGGACTTCTTGCTCCTGAAGAATCTCTTAACGGAAAAAACCAGTTCCCATGTTCTCAAAAACACTCTCTCTAGACATTGCAAGCCCTTACAACTTGCTTATATCTGAAAACATTTCGAGATTTTATATCTGAAAGGCCAAGGCAGCCTCCAAAACCTAACAGTTAACTTTAATGTTGTCAATTTATACAGAAGTTAATGTTTACTTTAACACATGGACTAAATTTCTACTAAATAACCGTCCACCGTCAAAGCTACCACCCCATTGAAGCCCTCTTTTTATCCGGATGTTTGGATCGCGGGAATGCTATATGCACCTCAATGCTGTATTTCATCCTGGGGTCATCCTGAATAAGTGATTTCTATACTATTCTCATCAGAGAAAACAGCCGACATTTCGAGACGCCACCGTCGGTTCTACCTGGAAGTGACGTCTGACAAACGAGCGCAGAAATTCCATACTTATGACGTATCAGTATCAAGATCTGGGTAGTGCATCTGGTCCCAGTCGTTCAAAAGCGGAAAAGCGCTATCCACTGAATAAATAGCTATCCGCTGGATAGGTATTACGGAAAACAATTGCATTATCCAGTGGGTAGCGATTTATCCGGTGGATAGCGTTATCCACCCATTGATTTGATCAACCACAGATGATTAGTCGTTCCGCGTGGGAAATTTGCTTCAACCAATCAGAAGCACTACCCAGATGTGGGTAGTGACACGTCATCAGTATGAAATTTCTGCGCCTGATCCTCAGACATCATTGAGCGGGGAAACCAGTGGTGACGTCGAGAAATGTCAGCTGTTTTATCAGGCTAATACTTATTCCATTTATAGAGCGATTTTCGTAAGACCTTGAAAAATGGTTTCGGTAAGTGTTTGTTATTTGTTTTATCAGCCAATGAATGCAAAGATCAAAACATAGACTCTTCGTTTTCCCGCCAAAGAAAACCCTTATACGGAGAAGGCACTGTTCGTTTGCCAATCGTGTTGCAGTATGACGTCAAAGGGAAGTATCGATTGATTTCTAGAAAGTTCTCGGGCATGAATTTTTTTTCACCCGAGCGTTCGCTTAACCAACCAAAAGCCACGCGCGTTTGTATCCGATTGATAAACCAATCAAATCGCTCAATTTCTGTTCGTTTGTTGTTTCTGTTTTGGTCTGCACGTTTTCATTTCAAGGTCATACTAAAATCGCTCTATAAAAAGTGGCGAATCAGCCATCAGAAACTTTGTGTCACTCTTACTTTTAACTTAGTATAACATAGGGATTAAAATCAAGTTATACCTCAAGAGACAACATGTGTTTCAAATAGCTCATGGTTTTCATCACAGCCTGCACAACTGATCTCACCTGGAAAAGTTATTTTCATTAAAGAACAGAATAAAAAGCATAATAATACTCATAATCATAATAATATTCTCTCTTGTATGTACATTATTCTACAAAAATATTTGAAATTAAAATTTATGCAGTATATAACACTAACGACAGTAGCATAAATCATAAACAATTATTGGTCAATAACCTACAACGATAAAATATACATTCCTTGCGGCGCAGTAGCGATCATTTCTTCGAGCTTCGATCCTTTTGGTCAGCGTAGATCTGAGACGCTGACCAAAAGAATCGAAGTTCTGGGAACGAGAATGAAGCTTTCGCTTTGTCTCTTTCCCACTCTTCCCCTCTTCTTCTTTCGTTTTTCTTTTTCCATTTTATAAGGAAATTTTTCGGAAAAACTTCTAGGATCGTACGATTAGATGGAAGGAAAAGCAGGGGGGTGGTGGAAAAGATTTTCATAGGAATTTTTGGGTGTTTTCATGATTTTCGCTTTTTTTTTAACTTTCGGCCTCCTTGACTTTCTGGTATGGTCTCTTCAGTCGGGTCAGGGAGAAGGGAAAAGGGTTTTCTTGACCGTTAAAACTGCGACAAAGCCATAAACGCTTCAAAGGACGTAGCTCCGCACATGCGGTTATGTGCGGTTTCGGGGCGAATGGGTTAATTGCTGATTCGAATAAAACTTTTTAGTTTTATCAATAGTGTTCAAAGACAGCGAATGTAGGAAGCTTTAATTAAAATGTTATTCGCAGCTTGAAATTGAATGTTCACACTTTCAGATGTCCTCATTACCTCTTGCAGTTTTTTTCTGCTCAAATCTGGCATGTGTGACATAACATTTTCCTCTGTCAAGTCCTCGCGGATAACCTTCTTCAGAGGGGGCTGGAGGATATTAAAAACAAGTCAAGCACATTAAATGTGACTACACAGGATCTGGTGGGGGAGCATTCCCTACAATGGCCTATACAGAGAGGCTCCGCCGAAAAGGACACCATTTTCAGGCTTCAGTCATATCGAAGGGTAGGAATTCTGGAATTCATGAGTTGAAGTATATGAAAGGGTAGGGAAAACTATCATTTAAGTATGTACAGGTCCTTTGATTAAAATGTTTCACATATACGCGTCTTATGGCTTAATCATTTGCAGGGTTTGAGCTAGGATTTGATCACTGGGGGACAATTTGTCCCCTTGGCTAAAATTTTGGGGGACATTTTCATTTTTAGGGGGACAGAAATTTGTACACCCTACCTTCTTAGCAGGGCTTCTGATAGGTCTCGGACGGAAAAGTCAAATTTCGCGGGATTTTTAGGGACAAATTCGCGGAAAAATCGGCCGATTTCGTGGGAGTTTTCGGGGCAAAATTCACCGAAAAGCAATCGGTAAAAAACGGCCGATTTCGCTAGTAATCGATCGGTTTTGCGCTGATCAGACCAGCCTTTTTAACGTTTTTCTAACAGAGGTCATCATTTGCTCGTTCAACAACAATACGCTCCAGAAATGAACCAATGGCAAAGCCTTTAACATGATGGCTAGTGCCCTGTTTTTCGCAACATAATCTGTTTCACGTTTCAGTGACGAAGTTCCAAGATAAATTTGCAAGTTTACGGCAAGTAAATAGCCCCTATAGCTGAAATAAGTTTCAAATATGTTGTACAGACATGTATTTGATAAGATTTCTACCGAATTTCGCGGTTCCGCGACCGCGCGAAAAATCAGAAGCCCTGTTTTAGATTTCCGAAAAAAATAGCAGTAGAGCGTGACTGAAACGTAACTTTGGAATGAACTTTAAAGGTGCGATAAAATATGCTTTCCACGTTCTGTTTCAGCTTGCAACTTCTGTACCGAAATAAATCTCTTCGTGTGTGCTTCCTTTCGAGTTTTTTCCCTAAATTTGGAAGGGGACAAATTGTCCCCTTGGCCGTTTTTTAAAGGGACAATTCCAATTGCAGTGCGGGATTGGCGCAATGGCGCGGCCTGGCTCAAACCCTGCATTTGCATTCATTTTTCATTACCTTACATGAAAATGACAAGAAGGCTTCCTGTTTTAGGAATTTTATTTTAATTTAATTTGGGTAAGGGGTTGGACCTCGCGGCACAGCCTCCCCTTAAAAAACTTTTTGGGAGCGCACCTAACTTTGTGAGGCCTTCAATATCCTCCTGGGCCACAGGACTACCAGCGAGGAAAAACAGGCCTGCATTTTACATATTTTGATCGCAAATCAAAACATCTAAAACATCTCCACACAGTAAATTTCCTTGCTTACTATGATATCATTAATTATAAAATGCAATGGTAAAAATTACAGTGATTTTTTTAGCCTTATTTTCCTCCTGGAGGGTAAGAAACCCATACTATTTTAACCCACTCTCAAAGTCAAACTCAATTCGCTATATTTTTTAGATCAAATCTTCTTAACTTTGAGCCTATGGATGAAATCCTGCGATATGACCATTAAAATGAAACCTCTTCAGGAATACCTTCGCATGGTACATGCTCGTACCCAGACGTCTCTCTTTCGATGTGCGCGCAGTCTGTACCCTTCCCATGGTCTCTTGCAGTTCATCACCAGTCACTCGCGTTTTGCGCTCGCCTCTGCCATGCGAAAAACGAAGCGCCTGAGGAGGAGGCTGGCATGGTACTGTTTTGTTTTGTATGAAATTCAAACTTTTAAGTCTGTGGACAAAATCCTACACAATGAACACTCAAATTGAACCTCTTTAAAACCCTTTCACATGGTACAATTTGCAAAAAGAAGCTTGCCTTACAAAACCGAAAGTGGGATTTTTCTCACATTAATTTTTCTTTTCGTACACTATTTAAGGTAGTGTTCAAAACGTTAAACATACCCAAGGTGCTGCAGGATAAAGTATTGACAGACACAACAGGTCTTCACAACAGTCTCGTAACATATCGCTTACTGCTGTCACATGACCTGCTAGCCTTTCTCGGATTGGCTGTGCTACGTGTTCACTTTTTAAGACAACTGATGTCGGAGAGCAATGGTTTTGAAGAGACTCCATCAGGCAAACCATGTTCTTGTACAGTTTACAGAGCTTAGATTCAAGTCTGGACTAAAATGAAAGTTGGATAAGTTAGAAACATGGTAGATTCATGATCAATACCTTAAATTGTGGCCCACTCAGTGTCCGTATTAATGAGGTTTGACTGTAATTTAAAACAAACTTAATAGGATTAAGGATTACGACTCTTAATCCAATTGAGGCAAATCAGCTGGCTACTTAACAATTATTCCTCGAGCCCAAATGGACTCTGAGTCAATAGCCCATGAGGCTGAAGGCCAAACGGGCTGTTGACTCAGAGGCCATGAGGGTGAGAGGAAAAATTGTTTTAGCAAAATCCAACTAGTTGGTCAAAAATATCAAGACAAAACAACTTTAGCTAGTTAAAGCTAGACTTCAATCCTTTTTTACCATCAAAGGGGTGCTTTTCGTTACTAGTGGGCTATAACATATAGCCTAGTAGTAGCTCAACCAATCAGAATGCAGCATTGATAATAGACCACTAGTTGGATTTTACTAAATACAAGATAGCTCATGAACACCAAAAACAAATCTGGTTAGCTGTCATGACTGGACTTGTGAACTGCAAGTCCAGTGCTCTAACCACTCGGCCACCCTCCCTCCCTGTAACATGGGCCCTTGCCATTATGAAAAAGTAGCCCCGACATACGTTCCAACTCTCTCGGATGATGGGGAGACCCATGGATACTGCATAAATCCCCCGGTTTCCTGTTCCGGTCACCAAATCTCCCACAAAAATTTACCCCTTGAGTTTCTTTTCTTTTGGCCTCAGAAGGAATTTAGACAAATTTCGCCAAAATTCAAAATTCATTTGATTTTAAAGCTCATAGTATGGTTTCAGGAGGCATTTTTTATCATAAGAGGTACATGTAAATGACTGTTGAGCCTCACCCCTAATTTTCTGTGTTTACAGCAAGGGGGGTGGGCTAATATTGGTAGAGGGGGGGTGGTTGCCAGGGGAAGGCGAAAAAATAGTCTCCATATTTGAAATCTCATGAGGTTGACATCAATCTCCACTTCAAAGGAAGGTTAAAACAAGAGCGACCATATGGTGGGTCTGTCTGCCAGGACAAAAAGATTTGAGAAGTTTGAGGTGAGAGAGAGCTGAGGCCATTGTAAAGAGGTGGCCATTATAAAACACCAAATCAAGACTTATCAATATCCTACCACATGCTTTAAATTAAGATGATCCACCTTCCCGCTACAACAGTCCAGCAGAGTCACCGCTTCATTAGCACTATCTTTTGATTGTTTCAAAAAATCACCCATGTACAAGGCAGGCAAGCAAAGATCATCACAGTCAGTATTCTGCAAAAAAAACATGCCACGATAAAATAAAAATTCAGTAATTTGTAAAATGACTAAAAGAAATAAGAATTAAAAGTATTGAAAAGAAGTAAAGTGAAATGAAAATTAGCATGATACCTCCTTGTTTTTGTACAAGTCGATCCTTAACTCCTCAATCCTGTATTCCAACTTTTGCACATATTCACGTGATACAGTCATATAATTGGAAGAACTGTCTGATGGATAGAGTCCCCTACAAATCAAGCATTTTTTAAAATATGAAATAATTTTCAATAAGTTTCTTTCCTCACCTAAATCCAATCCAGGGTGCAAAGAAAGTCATGTCCGATAGCCCAGGGCTAGTGGATTTTTCCTATTGGGCTAGTGATTTTTGTTCTTAACTTGCCCGATGGCAGAGAGCTGTTTTTTGGGGAAATTCAAATTACAGAAGGATTGTAATCAATCCTGCTAATCAAAAAGGGTTTTGGGGCTAGTTGAAATGACTTGTGGGCTAGTACATGCTAGCTACAGCTTGCCCGGATGGCAGGCTGTAAAACTGACTTTCTTTGCACCCTGATCCAATCTACCAGTAAACTGGATAATTTTTTTAAATAATTGACCCAAAATAATGCTCCCACCTCCACCCCCCTAAAAATGCAAAGTTGTTTTTGACTAAGGTGGAACCATTGTATCAAATTATTAAGGCAGGCATTATTTTTAGAATGTTACATTGCTGCAAACATACACAGGACATATATAACTAAAACAAATTATTTATGATTTAGTTTTTAATTATTATGATGATCCTAAAATATTATTTCTTTTAAACATCACAATCACGGGATAACAAGTTGGGCTATGATTAAAGTCAGGAGGTAATATATTATTGAAATGTTAAAGCAACCCAATATTAAGCAGATAAGTGAACACTAAAGTCCTCAACATTTTTTGCAAAGCAACCAATGGGCATTACATTACTAGCATGATCACTTTATTAACTCATCTTACTTACTGAACAGTTTCTCTCAAGTTTAAAAGTTTATTTTCAACTTCTAAAAAAATATGTTGTCTTGCTTGCAGTGCACTAGATTGAAGGAGAACCTATGAAATACAGGAAAATCAAAGATATTTTATATTAAACACCTGCAAGATTAAAAAAAAAAGCTTATAAAAACAATCATGAATATCAGCATCTTTTAAACCCAAAATTGAAGTCTACAATGATAAATGACAAAAACAGAAAATAGCAGAAATGGCATTTATTACTTTTTTAATATATTATTGATTATTGGGTGGGGGTCTGTTACTGCTATAGGGGCACCTTATTACATAAAATTTTGGCAACACGTTAATTTCGCGATTTTGAAAAATCCTTAATTAGTGGCACTTTAATTTAGCGATTTATCTTAAATTTTTGAAAATAGGTCACTTAATTTTTGTGTTTTCACCACTGAAACTTTGGTGAATTAGGGAATTCAAAACTTTTAAAATGACAACAGTCAAGATCATTTTTGTGGCAAAATCATAAAATGTCCATAGCTTCATTTAAATCAAAATCATATGACATAATTCTGAATTTTGAATGAAGCAAATGAAAATGAAACTGTAATGTCATATCTGCTGTCCTCACTCGTATTTAAGGTATATTGTCACACAAAGTCAACGATGCATACACATCATAATCAACATTCCAAGAGGTCCGGAAAATTGCTGCACCTATACCCAAACAAGGCAACCACGAACTTCCTAACAATAACAGACCAATTTCCCTGTTACCTGCATTGCCAATGGTTTGTGATCTAGAGTAGCTTATAATCAGTTTGTCATATACCTACCAACTTTTTCTGAGATATAAGTGTGAGATTTTTATCCTGGAAGTGCTGGGATTTTTGAAGACGACACGATCATTTCCGAAGATTCCCGAAGAAGTCGGAAGTCTTCCGAAGACGTCCAAAGTCTGCCGAAGTCTGCCAAAGGCGAGCTCGCTCCCAGTGCTTTTCACTTCAAAAATCAGAGATTGCGAGGAAGGTATTGCCATTTATTCATTTTACACATGGTTTTCGTTCCTTACATGGGTCTGAGTGAACATATTTTTGGAAATTGTGTCAAGCAGGACGGCAACAACTCACATTTTTCAATCAGGCGTGAGAAATTGGCCCGCAGGCGTGAGCCGGTGTGAGATCGAAGTTTTCAACCCGCAGGCGTGAGACTCACGCCTAAGGCGTGAGAGTTGGCAGGTATATTGTCACCTATTTGACAACCAAGGAAAGGCTTACCAGAAAACAAAGCAGCAACAAATAATGGTTCTCTACCGAAACATCTTTAATTCCTATACAACTGATGCACTTCTCAAAGGAATTGATGATAAGCAATAATTGCTTATTATTATTAACTGCCTGCCTTCTTTTAGATAATTTTGATACTGACATTACGACCACAGTGTCAGAATGTCAGAATGTATCGCACATCTAGCGCAAATTAACCATGATGTGAAACACTGTTTAGACAAAAATACATAACTGTTAAATAATAAAATAAAGTAAAAAGGATTTGGAGGTAGCACATCCACATAGTGGTTCTTCGTCTACATGATTCCTGGTCAAATTTGAAAATGTTGGTTTACATGACTTGTAATAAATGCCGTAGTTTTCAGCAAAATGTACTACTGCTCGAATAATTGAGCAAATATTATAAATAAGAACATAAGAAAACTGCAGGCTGCTCAAAACTTTGCTTGTCGAATCATCAGTGGTCCAGAAAAATGAAAAAGCCTGTCTTGGTTGCCTGTTAAGGACCAACTATAATGGCTATAGCTATTACGGCCTTTAAATGCATGACCAGTCAAGCCCCTGAATACATCTATCTTATATCCCAATTTATTACCCAGACAGACAGAGAACTTTTTATTACAGGACTATTAAGCTTTGGAACAATTTAGAACCTTAATTCTCTTAAATTATACCAATATATGTTCACATTAATTTTTTACATGTCTCTTAAGGAACCAGCTTCTAGATTTGTGAATGCTTCTTAGTTAAGTTTAAAAGTATTGTAATCAGTAGTTAGTCAAGCATTATTTATTACTAAGTTGAGTGTTGTAAATAGTTAAATGTAATGCTTGTACATATTTTATGATTGTCCCTGAAAAGTCCCTTTGAGGAGGAAACTATAAGGTATGTATGTATAATCTGAATCGACTGTCAGATAGCATATGTGGGTAAAACTGACCAGATGGCAGCATTTCATATTGCACTCACTTTAATTTAGCGACGATTTAAATTTAACGATAATTAATTTTGGTGACTTTTAATTTATGATTTATCCATTATTAAAAAATTGCTAAATTCACTAAATCAAAGCGTTGCTAAAATTTCGTGTAATAAGATAGCTATATTGACAGCCTCTTTCTCCACAAGTCCCCAAACTCTGAGGTTACAAGCTGCACTGCTTTGTGGGAAAGGAAAATGGGTTCAGAACTATCATTGGCTACTCTACGGTATGAAGTCAACAACAGACTTGCCAACCCCCTGCAAAAGGCAAAAGTGTGAGACTCTAAACCTAGAGCTGCGAAAAGCAGTCAAAAATGCATAAAAGGTCAAGAGAGGTCCCAAATTTCCTATTGGAAGGACTTACACCAGGGATTATGGGTACTGGAAGTCACATATCACTTTGAAGCTGCAGCAGTAAACATCACGATCAAATTTACGATTTAGATTTTGTAATTCATGTGTTGTTGGCCGCCATCTTGAAACAGGTGGCAAGTCGTGGTAGGATAAAAGAATGTAATCAAATATGACCGTTAAGCGTTTTCTTTTAAATTGGGCTGGCTATGTATTGATATCTAACTTGGAAACGAACCCTGCAACTCCAAAATCAGCCGTCAACTCGTGAAAGCGTGAGAATCACAACAAAGTCATGAGACTTAGAAAGTCTACAACAAGAAAATAAAAAATGGAGATCCAAAAACAAGAGAAAATGCATGACTTACAATTTTCAAACATTGTGTTGTTTCTTACCTGTCTTTCAAGTTGAATAACTTGTGACTTAAGTAAGTTTACCCTCCTTTCATCAAATTTTTCCAAAGGAGTCTCTTCTACTAGCTGTTTGTATAGAGACCTAGGTAAAATAAGTGAACCATCAAGTTAACATATCATTCTTATATACATTGAGTGTGATTGTCTGCCGGGTGAACATAGACCTGAATAGGACTGTTGTTGTTGACAGTGACTGATGCGGTAGTCATCATCAGAGTCACGTCAGTTGATGGTATTTAACTCTGGTTATTGACCTGACTGGCCAATTAAGTTGTGCTGTTATTGGTTGTCTGCCAGATAAGCTGTGATGTTATTGGCTATGAAGACTATTTTAGCCTTGCCAATTGAAGTCTTCAGCATTTCACAACCTGAGCATTTAGGAATTCAATATTAGCCTTGCAGATTCAATTCTGCCATGGGTCCACACTCCAACATAGTGCACACTGTGAGTCAGGGCATTCCTTTAGAGTCATGAGATCTCAGATTTAGAATTGACTCTTAGGCCGCGTCCACACGTATCCGGAGATTTTTGTATCCGCAAATTTTTTATGCGGATACACCTAGCGTCCACACGTGTCCGCCGTATACGCTCGGTGTATCCGGAGATTTCTGTATACGCTCCCCAGAGTGGAAATTTCTGTATACGCTGTGTATCCGGATACGTGTGGACGCTCTTATCCGTATATTTTTGTATACGCTGACGTCACAGTATCAGAACCAGTCTTAATGCGCATGCTCTGTTGACTAATCCTTTGAGATGTCAGGATACAAATCGGATACGTGTGGACGGTTGTCTACGTGTAGACGCAGATAATTTTATATCTGCAAAAAAAAAATTTGCGGATACAAAAATCTCCGGATACGTGTGGACAGGGCCTTAAAGGCATAGCAACTGGACATCAAATTGAATATCTAGTACCTAGAAAGGAGGAGGGTGCCTTAATTTCATTAAAGGCCCATCATTAGCAACTTCTGGTAATGACTAGCTGATGTTTACTTGCTTACCTGATGAATAGAAGTTCTGCTTTAAGTTCGCTGTTTTCTCTCTTTAATTGCTGCATATAATAAAGGAAGCCAAATTAAATCAGGTGCAAATTATGTAAAATAATGTGATTAAATAAATATACTTGTGTTCATATAATTAATCAATAAAATTAAGAAGTTAAAAAATAAAATGACCCTATCAGGTTATTTTAGTGAAAGGATTAATCCACTTTATGAGATGATTAATTTTTATAACAGATTTGTTGCAAAATATGCACACACTTACCTGAAGTAGATATTTGTAAGTTCATGTATGTAAAATCTGTTCTCAGGTTAAACCAGGATTTCATTTATCTTGTTTGGCAGGATACAAAAATGGGAAATCCTGAATCAAACTGGCTTTGAGAATGGATTTTTAATTTTTAAACCTACAACATATACATGTAAGTATACACACATTATAGCAGCTAAAATTGATATGGGTCGAAATGAAATTTAAGTTAAATTTGTTTAATCTTGGTTAATTGTCAATTTCCTTTGGTTTATGAATAATTAGGGCTACGAGAAATGAGCATAAACCTATACATGTAGCTAGGTTGGAAAAATTAAACCTGATTTGATGTTAACCTGGAACAGCAGCGCCCTTGAAAAATACAGGGTGTCCCAAAAGTTCGTTCCTCTACTTTGCAAGTCTGTAGTGTAACTTATGATTGTACTCATGAAACAAATCATTTATGCAAAAGTTGTTTATTTCTGATAAAGTACCATATATTTTTTGCACCGTCTTTCTATTGGGAGATTCAATTTTTGCATTTTTCCGCCAAAGGTATGCATGTGCATTTATGTTTTCCTGCCAAATATTTGTTGTATTTTGTGTCCTGAATTGCTCACAATCTTTCCTCGGTTTTGTGAATATCATGAAAGATGCACCCTGTTAATGCTAAAAAGCTCAGCATCTATACTTAGATCTACTGGCTTGTCAGTTAAAGAAATTTCCAAAAAGCTGAAAAAATCTGAACTTTGGGTAGTGAAATGGTCGTCAAGAAATGACAGGTTTGAAGACAAGAACAGAACGGGAAGACCGAAAATCCTTAATGAGGCAGCTAAAACAATTCTGAACAAATGCTAAGTACAAAAGGGGAAACTCGACCTGACAGCTTTCACAACAATTAGCAAGCAAAGGCTATGATGGGGGAAAAAACACCATCTGGAGGTTTATGAAAAGCAAAGGTTGGAGACCGCTGAGAAGGCAAAAGAAACCTCTGCTCACAGCCAAGCAGTGTGCAGCTCGACTGAAATTTGCTAAGCAGTACAAAAACCTCACTGTGGAAGAATGGGATGATTTTCTTTTTTCGCATGTATGTCCGAAATATTTGTCTCAGCTGCCCAATCCAAAAAATTATATTGTTTGGGGTTCTCAGGAGAGCCAAGTTCCTCTAGCATATCAGGTTAAAAATGGATCATATGGGGCAGAATGACAGGCCGCAGTCTCACTGGGATACATTTTTTACCTCAAGGACAGACTTTGACTGACAATTACTACATCGACAACATATTAGAGAAAGAAGTGAAGCCTGTCCTTCACGGTAAAACTGTGAATTAAGCAACAAACAGGCGAAAATTGTTCAGTTCCAATTGCCAAATGATGTTCGTCCAAGATGGGCTGCTAGCACATGCAGCCAAGGCCACCCAGGCATGGTGCAAAAGAAACCTGCCAATTTTTACAGAGAAAACATACTGGCCCCCAAATTCCCCAGATATCAACCCTGTGGAGAATCTTTAGAGCATAATGGATGAAGTTGTCTATAAAGATCCAACTCTTAAAACCATGAAGGATCTGAAAAAACGGCTCAAACAAGCTAAGCTTAAGCCGCTACATGACTCATCCTACTCCATGCCACAGCGGCTTTGGAACGTGACAACAAACAAAGGAGGGCATGCCGGATTTCGACTTTCTGAATATATGTACTCAGTAAAGCAATGAAGTGTAATGTATTAGGCTGCTAAGCATGCTGGGATAGGAAAAACCATGTGCTTTTGATAGCGGCGGCCATGTTACATTTGCAATGAAATTGGTTAGAGTTAAATCTGTTTGTTTGGATACTTTATTACTCTTGGGATCACTACATTGGCGACGAGGTCAAAAAATGGAAAAGAACGTGTTACTGAAGTTTGATTGTTTCTCTGATCCAGCGACAATTAGCCCCCAATGGAAGAGGTGGTTAACTTCATTTGAACTGTACGCGGACGGGAAAGGGCTTATTATAAGTGAAGGAGCCACAGCAGCAACTTAAAACAGTGGCGACAAGCAATGTTACTCCACCTGGCTGGGCCTGATGTACAGTAGATATTTACCACCTTAACTGAAACAGGGGATGCTACAAATTATGCCAGTGCTGTTGAAGCTCTCAACGCCTATTTCGTGCCACAGGTAAATTCAACATTCACCGGCCAGACCTTTCATAGGATCACGCAAAACCCATGTGAGACAGTTCAACAGTTTGTCACTCGCTTAAGGAAAGCAGCTTAAGATTGTGATTTTGGCACTGATACCGACAACCAGATAGAAGATGCAGTTTTGAATAAGTGCACTTCCACTTACATCAAACGAAAATTGATTGAAGAAGGTTAAGGACTGAACTTAACACGCACCCTAGAGGTTGCCGCAAAATGCAAAAAGATAGAAACCCAACTGGCTGCCCTTTCAGTAAAGGGGGAAGAATCAGAAAGTATCAATAGAATCAACGAGAGAAGTAACAATCCGAGTACTAGCACACAAGGGAGAGATAAGATATGTTATAGATGTGGTTTATTGGGACATTTAGGTCATGATCCCCAATGCCCAGCAAGAGGCAAAACATGTAGAAAATGTCGCGGGAAAGATCATTTTGAAAAAGTTTGCAAGACAAAGTCATACGCTTGTCAGGTTGGGAGGGAACCCGATGACAATGACCCTGGGCCCCAGCATGACTATGCATTCAGTATTACAGAAGGAGAACACTCAGAAATGGACACCGTACAAGTAGGAGGAGTGGGGCAAACAGCAACATTATTGACAAGGGGACGTGGGAACAGTTAAAGGTGAAGGGAATGAAATGTGAATCACAAGCTGCTACCCCAGACAAGAAGCTGTACCCATATGCGTCTAGTCAGCCACTGCCAATATTAAAAGGGTAGGTTTAAGTGCACAGTGAGTGTTTGTGATAGATCCACCAAAGCTGAAGTCTTGGTAAATAAAGGTAGAGGGATGTCACTGCTTGGAGAGATAACAGCCACAGAACTGGAAGTGTTAAAAGTTGCCATTAACATTGCTATGGTAACAAGTAAAGCTGACAGTTTAAAACAGCAGTACCCAGAGGTATTTAATTTGAGGGTGTCGGAAAACTGAAAAACAAACAGATATCCCTGGATATAGACCCCACCGTAAAACCTATTGCACTGCCTTATAGAAGGATACCATTTAATCTGAGAGGAAACATCCGAGATAAGACTACAGAACTGTTGGACATGGGAATAATTGAACCAGTGGAGGGTCAAGCCCCCTGGGTCAACTCTGTGGTGATCGTCCCAAAGAACAACGGCGAAATCTGCCTATGTGTGGACATGAGACAGGCAAACCAAGCAATCATGCGAAGACGATATCCAATTCCCACAGTTGACGAGGTGTTACATACCATGAATGGTTCTAAGTCTTCAGTAAATTAGACCTTAAATGGGGGTACCAACAGTTGGAGTTGAGCCCAGAAAACACGGAAATCACAACCTTTGCTACACCTGATGGTTTCATTCGATATAAGCGCTTGCTCTTTGGTGTCTGTTCTGCCAGTGAACAATATCAGCATGAATTTGCTTCAGCCCTGGCCAGTATCGAAGGTGTCTAAAACATTTCGGATGACATTGTGGTGCATGGTGCTGACACAGAAACACACAACAGGTGACTCCACCAAACCCATAGAGCATCTGCAAGAGTGCGGTCTCACTTTAAATGCTGAGAAAAATGTTTGTTCAATATGGACAGGGTGGTGTTCATGGGTATGCTGCTTTCAGAGAAAGGCATTGGTCCTACAGCAGATCGTGTTAAAGCAGTATTAGAGGTGGAAGAACCAAAGAGTGCGTCAGATGTACGTAGCTTTCTGGGTTTAGCCAACTACACTAGCCGGTTCATACCTCACTTTGCCACTTTATCCGAACCACTGCGAAGGCTGACAAGGAATTTGGACCGGAGCAGAAGAAGTCCTTTGAATGTCTCAAACAGAAGATGGCAGAAGCTTGTACTTTGGCATATTTCGATAAGAATGCACCCACCAAGATAATCATGGATGCCACTCCAGTTGGGCTGGGTGCTGTTCTCGTACAGGAGCAGGACAGTGGTATGTTATGCGAGTCATAGTTTGACCGGATGTGAGCAGAGATATTCCCAGACAGAGAAGTGTGGGCGTGTGAGAGATACAATGTCTATGTGTATGCGATGAAGTTTGTTGTAGAGACCGACCACAAGCCTTTAGAGGTCATATATGGTCCACGGTCAAGACCATGTGCACGGATAGAGTGATGGGTTCTCAGATTACAGCCATATGATTTCAGTGTGATACACAGGCCTGGGCGCCAGAACATTGCTGATCCATTGTCGTGACTACTTCATAGGAGGGTTGAACCTGACAACCACCAGCGGTGTACTGAAGAGTATGTTAGGTTTGTTGCTGTAAGTGCAACACCAACAGCACTCACAACCCGTGAGAAAGAAGAGGCCTCTGCTGATGATGAAGAGTTGAAAGAAGTGAGTAAAGCTATTGCAACGGGGCAGTTTGAAAAGTATATGACAGTGGCGGGGGAGATGTGTGTCATTGGTCAGCTTGTGCTTAGCCATATATGCATTATTATTCCTAGTAAGCTGCAGTCTAGGACCTTAGCACTTGCTCATGAAGGCCACAATGGGTGTGGTTGGCACCAAACAGAACCTCAGAACCAAGGTGTGGTGGCCAGGGATGGGTAAAGCGACTGAGAGACATTGCCGAGCATGCCATGGGTGTCAGCCAGTGGCACGGCCAGTTCTCCCTGAACCTATTCGATCCACCTCATTACCCGATGGACCCTGGCAAGACTTAGCAGTAGATTTAATGGGACCACTACCATCCGGACATTCACTATTAGTCATTGTTGATTACTACAGCCGATTTTACGAAGTCGAGGTTATGCAGTCCACTACCAATGAAAAGATCATAGACCGTCTGGCTGATACCTTCTGCAGACATGGGCTGCCAATTACCATCAAGTCAGACAATGGTCCACAATTTAAGTCGAATGAATTTAGAAAATATTGTGCACAGCATAGTATTATACATCAGAAAGTTACTGCCAAGTGGGCCCAAGCCAACGGAGAGGTCGAGAGACAGAATTGGTCACTGCTGAAATGACTACAAATTCCTCAGACAGAGAACAAACCATGGAGAGCAGAATTAAGGAAGTAACTCACTGCCTATAAAAGCATTCCCCATAATACGACTGGAAAGAGTCCCACTGAGCTACTGTTTAACCGAAAAGTCAAGGGGAAGATCCCTGCTTATGACCATGAAGTACATGATCACGATGCTGAACAGAAAGCTAAGAGTAAAGCTTATGCAGACATACACCACAGGGCCAGTCCCTCCAGCATTGAACTGGGTGATGAAGTTCTTGTCCAACAAGACAAGACTAACAAACTCAGCACAGCATTCAACCCAAACCCCTGTAAGGTCATCAGCAAGACCGGAAACAGCCTCGTAGTAGAGAGTCCAACAGGGAACCAGTACTCCAGAAACACAAGTCATGTGAAGCAATACATTAGAGAGGGAGATCCCACACCCCAACAAGGGTCAGACTCTGTGTCAACACCCCTCACACCTCAGAAGGAATTAGACCCTGTGCCATCACCTTACAAACCAACCGTACCAGAATCGAATGCTGGGCTGCTGGATAGAGGGGAGTGCCCTGATCTGCAGGAGAATGTTGGAGCAGCACCAGAGCCATCAAGGAACTTGAGACCCCAGAGGACAAGGAGATTGCCAGAGAGATTAAGAGACTTTGTTGCTAATTTTCTTTGGGGAAAATGAACACTGATTCTCCCTTCAGAACTATATACAGTTTGAACATTTAAGTTTCTGTTTGCGTATTTTAGAAGAGGACACTTTATCGTTTGTATAGTTGACTTTATTATTAGTGGAGATTTCTTTTTTCATGTAAAGGAGCATTTTTCTGAGGAAAGGAGAGATGCAATGTATTAGGCTGCTAAGTATGCTGGGATAGGAAAAACCATGTGCTTTTGATAGTGGCGGCCATGTTACGTTTGCAATGAAATTGGTTGAGTTAAATCTGTTTGTTTGGATAGTTTATTACTCTTGGGATCACTACAAACATCTTAGGAAATTTCATGCAGAAGTGTAGTTTCGATCAAAAGTTATGTGGCATGTAAATAGGAGGAACGGACTTTTGGGACATCCTGTATATGCTGTTTGTCAGCTTAAAACTCTGTCACATGGTGTCAATCTTGATGCTTAAATGTAGATAAAATTATTTCACCCTGCTTCAAGAGTTTCGGCTCTCTGGATTCTCAAGGTTTCTGTGCAACACTTAAGAAATAAAGTTGATTTACTAACATTAATTTTACTTGAACATTATTTTACTAAATGGTTTTGATTGGCATACCACGTAATTTATCAGGAATAGTCACTTTTGTTTTATACACTAGAAAATTCAAGGGGAGTATTCCCTGTGCATGCTGCAGACAGGTTTAAACGAGATCAGATCCAATATGTATCATTTAAACTAAACTTGTCAGGTCTGTGAGAAGAAAGTATTCCTTACTTGCAACTCAAGATGACATTTTTGTAACTGTCTCTCCTTCACACCTGTCTGTGTCTCTGTCTCTGGAGATGACAGTGCACTAGAAACACTAGCATTTCTGGAGGAAACTTGTCTCAACTCTTGAGTAGCACTTCCCAGAGATCCTGCATTCCTGGACTTGAGATACATAAATGTATTTACATTAGAAAAGATGATGAAAGACATGGGGGAAAGTAAAATCTCCCTAGTGTGTGGGACAACTTTCTTCTTAAAATGCAGAACCGTGAAAGGGGGAGCAGGCCCCAGGGCCTCTCAACAATGATGTAAACTTATCATGTTAGGTGCTGGATATGACACCTGCTGGCACAAAAATGAACAAGACTTCAGTTGAGAACAAAATTCTTTCAGGGTAATCCCATATTCTTTGGGCTAGACCCATATTTTATGGAAGTCTTCAGGGTCTTCAGGGACGACTGGGCTATTTTAATTTGCAGAACACTGAATGCCAAATGCAGAATGCTGAACAACTCTGAGTTTAGTGATGGGGTTGGGAAAGTTAGTGAATTAGATTCCATTTTGGGTCATTTAACTGGGAAAACAGACCTGAAACTTAATTCACCCAGTTTCTTAACCCTAATCACTAAGTTCAGTGATTAATTAGGGTTAAGAAAATGAGTGAAACAGGTTCCATTTAGTTTCGTTACACTGGGAAAACTGATCTGGAACTTGATTGACTCAGTTTCCTGACCCTAATCACCAAACTTCAGGGTCATTCGGCGTTCGGCATTCAGCGTTCTGCAAATACCCCTGCCGCTTCAGGGGTGTTCAGGGGTGAATGCAATTTTACGGAAATTACCTTCAAGAGTAAGAAGAACAGGTAAGTCCTCAGCCGGAGGGTACGGATATTAAATGCAATAGCCCATTATACAGTGTATCTAAACAGCTTAGGATCAAAATTTGGAAGTTGATATTTTGAGACAAAGAAGAAGTCTTTTTGAAACAGTATACTACACCTACCTTGACAATGTCATGTTTTCTTTTGTTTTGACCCGAAAAACTTGTCGGTCTAGATGGCAGCGGTGTTTTCTTCATGCAAACGTAAGGAAGTTCGCGTTCTCAATGAGACTCGTTGAACAGAATTACGATAAGAAATCTCAAACTTTCTCAAAACGTTTCGCTACAATAAACCGCCATTTTGTCGAATAAGACTGGGAACAAGTACATTAACAGAGGAGCATTTTAGGGTTCAGGGGTCGGTTTAATTTTAGGGAGGGGTGACAGGGGTTATGGAGTTCAGTAACAGTGTTCAGAAAGTTCAGAATAAACTAGACTGCTTGCGTTTTCTCTTAAAAACCGTCTAGTTCTTGATCTCATCCAGCAGAGACTGCTCACAGTCTAGAATAAACAATTTACGAAACTCACATTCTTTTAAATATCTCCGAAAAAGCAAGCCTTTTTAACCCACTTTCACCGCTTGGAAGGTAACACTTCGGCCCACCAATTTGACTTTTCAGAGGGGGTATGTGTGATTTAACTTGGGTAAGAATTCAAAGGTGTAACGCCCCGTGCAGACGGACGCAACATTGTTGGCCAACAACTCCCAACATTGTTGGCGCAACAATGTTGGGAGTTGTTGCGTCCGTTTGCACGCAGGCTAAGAATTTCTTCCAGCATTATACGCCATGAAAGATTGTTTGTTAAGTGTCAGAATTTTTTTTTCGCTAGGTATTTCATTGCAAGAATTTTTTCCCTCGAAATCGCTCTGCTGGGTATTTTTTCCATCATCCTGCAACTTTTTACTTACAGAACTAATATTTGCCTGGTATTTCGAAAATACAACATGCAAAAGTAAGTTCTCTGCTTGCCTGGCAGTAGTTTCCGTTTCGGTATCCTTTTAACCAAGCGGGAGAAAATCAGAGACCTGCGAGAAAAGGAGCGCCAAACTTCCTGCTCCTTTCTGCGCAATGCGGCAAATGCGTCTCCCCGCTCCGCTAAAAGGATTTATGGAAACGAAAGCTACTCAGGCTTTCTGTGACAGTTCTGAACTGAAAACCTAAAGAACACTGTTTCATTAGTCAAAGACTTTTATAACATGTGGTGGCTCTTAAAAGAGCCGTTGGTTTGATGAGAAACTGTACAGTTTAGGCGCGCTCTCCGCGGATTCGGCGGGCAAGCTGTATGTCTTTAGGCATGATGGTAACCCGCTTGGCGTGGATGGCGCACAAGTTGGTGTCTTCAAAGAGACCAACGAGGTAGGCCTCGCTAGCCTCTTGAAGAGCCATCACGGCGGAACTCTGAAAGCGCAGGTCGGTTTTGAAATCCTGAGCGATTTCACGAACAAGACGCTGGAACGGCAGCTTGCGAATCAGAAGTTCAGTGGACTTTTGGTAACGACGAATCTCACGAAGGGCAACAGTTCCCGGCCTGTAACGATGGGGTTTCTTTACACCACCAGTTGCTGGAGCGCTCTTTCTTGCTGCTTTGGTGGCAAGTTGCTTGCGAGGGGCTTTCCCACCAGTTGATTTACGAGCAGTCTGCTTAGTACGAGCCATCTTATACGAAATAATCGATCAAGGAAGAAGATTGAAAAGGGTGAGCGCTACTCAGGTTTATACTTCGCGCCTGCATCGGTGATTGGTTCTTTTTCGCAAGCGGTGATTGGTCAAAAAACGGAGTAACTATGTCTTGATTGGCTAGTAAAACGTGCACAACCATTGGTTCGCTTACGCAACCTTCGATCCATATTTCCATCGAAGCTCGAAGGTCACCAATTCTAAAATTGAGTGTATTGTGTCCTGTGAATGCAAATTTATCTATATTACTTCAAAGCTACGCTTTAACGCCCCCCAACAACAGCTACCGGTAACATTATCAAGTCCTTCAAAATGAACCGTTCTTTATACCCTGCATCGTGTCCCCCTATTGAAAACATGGTACATATCCCTACCTGCATAGTGATGGTGGGTTTACCTGCTAGAGGCAAGACTTACATCTCTAGAAAACTCACTAGATATCTGAACTGGATCGGCGTCAACACGAAAGTGTTCAATCTAGGGGAGTATCGTCGAGAGATGGCTGGCGCCCACTGCAAACACTCCTTCTTCGATCCAAACAACGCAAATGGCATGAACATCCGTGAAAAGTGCGCCGATAGGGCATTGGAAGACATAACCGAATGGCTGAAAGGAAAAGGTCAGGTGGCCATTTTTGATGCTACAAACACCACTCGAGCAAGGAGAAAGAAGGTCCAGGATCACCTCGATGCGAACGGTTTCACGGGCTTTTTCGTGGAATCTGTTTGTGACGATGATGAGATTATTGAGAGCAATATAAAAGAGGTAAAAGTGAACTCCCCAGATTACCAGGGGGTCAACCCAGATGAGGCTTGTCAAGATTTCCAAGCTAGGATCAATCAGTATAAGACCCATTATGAACCCCTTTCTTTGCATCATGATCAGAACGTGCCCTTTCTAAAAGTGATTGATGGAGGAAAACGCTTTCTCATGAACAAAGTGGAGGGCTACTTGCAGAGTAGAGTACTTTACTACATAATGAATCTGCACATAACCCCCAGAGCTATCTACTTGTCTAGGCACGGTGAGAGCATGATGAATACCCAAGGCAGGATTGGCGGTGATTCCGATCTAACTGAAAGAGGCTGGGAGTATAGCAAAGTGCTGGGGAAGTTTGTGAAGGAGAGCATGCCTGCCGATCTGAAAGTGTGGATCAGCGAAAAGAAGCGGACCAATCAGACTGCAAAGTTCATTGATAGACCCATTGAGCAATGGAAGGCCGTTAACGAAATTGATGCTGGAGTATGCGAAGGAATGACATATGAGGAAATCCAGGAAAAATACCCTGCGGATTTTGCTCGAAGAGATGAGGATAAATTTCATTACAGGTATGCTCGAGGGGAGTCTTATGAAGACCTTGTTGCTCGTTTGGAGCCAGTCATCATGGAGCTTGAAAGGCAACACAATGTGCTTGTGATTTGTCATCAAGCTGTAGCCCGATGTCTCTTGGCCTACTTCTTGGATCACACCTCTGAAGAGCTGCCCTATTTACGCGTGCCTTTACACACCGTAATCAAGCTCACTCCTGTCGCATATGGTTGCCGTGTGGAACAGTTTGACCTTAAGGTGCCTGCCGTCAACACGCACAGAGAAAAGCCAAAGATTGTAGCAGTAAGCAGAACAGCTGAAGATGCTTTAATGACTGTTCCAGAACATAAGTAAATGCACAGAAGACAGGTACTTTAGAGATTTTTTGTTCATTACATTCGTGTTACAACCCTTCAAACAAAGCTAAAGTCAAGGGGATGGCCATTTTGCTGTGAGGCCATTGTCATAATCTTGATTGGTTTTGCGTGTCATTTTTCGTATAAGGAAAAGGCCCCTTGAGGGTCATTTTGATACATTTCAAGAAAATAATACAAAGCAGTTATAATGAGGGTGACATTGAACTTGAATTAAACAGCCATGAGTAGTAAAAAGTGATCTTATGAGCACGACATGTACATAAAGTACGTGGTGAACGAGTTGTAGCCAGAACATCATAGTTTCCACAGCAATCAAGTGGTAGGTCACTTTCACAATACATGTATGTGAAGTTAATGGAAATTCACTTCTTAAAGACTTGGATGGACTGTGGGGGTCGATTTGAAAATCTTTTAACCTTTCTCAAAATGCCTCCTCCCCCCCCCCCCCATCTCAAAGGTAATAAATGACCAGCCTCAGAGGGAAATGGGTAAATGGGAACACCCACAATAATATACTGAATATACTGTTGTGTCTTAATACTATTAGACTAATTAATATTCTTAACCCCTCATTTTATAGAAATAAAGTAAGGGTTAAATACTAGGTTCAATACTTTTCTTCAAGATGTATTTAAAAATCTTGAATTAAAACAGATGTCTAAACCATTGATATTGATATGATGGAGAAAAACATAATACAGCCATGTTCCTCAATGACCAAATAACGTATCACTTGGGGGTCGACCATTTGCCTTTCAATGAGGTGACTTCGGAAAAAGAATATATATGCAGACTGATTTCAGGACATATCTGACATTTAATGACTTTGTACATGTATGTCAGGGAAAAAAAAATTATATGATCAGAGGTTTGGGGAAAAAAATAAATTACCCATACCCCCCCCCCACCTTCTCAAAAATGAAATGGCTGGCCCCTTATGTCAGCTACTGTAAAATGATTAGCAACTATTGAATGACGCTGATTAGGATATGAGCTGCAGAATTTTTCATATCCTACAAAGGCCAAATTCAATATTGTTTTATTATTCCTTCAAAATGATTCCAAATTTAAAAACAAGCTAATAGATTCTAACCTTAGTCAATTTAAGTTCAGTTTAAGAGGTATAATGTGAAAAACAAAGATACACTGAGAAAAGCTAGATTAAAACACATCATAAAAATTTACAGTAAACAGAATCAGAACAGTAAGTGACAGACCATTCTTTTTCTGGAGGTGGGGGGTGAGAAATATTGAAAATTGTTTGCGGGGTCTGAAAATACAGCATAAATAATTTGCAAACTTGATAGGGTAAAAAAAATGTTTGCAGAGAAGTCAGGTAAGATATTAAAAAATATTACCGGTATTACTAAAACTGAAATAATAAAAAAATTAAAGTAACAAATTGACGTATAAATGTAAAAATTTACGTGATCTGGGTACTTTAAAATAAAAGTGGTCACTCTGTAGTAAGCAAATAACAAATCTGAAAATAGCTGATTCTTTTTTGAAAAAATGGAAATTTATTGTGGCAATTAAATCTCAGTGTTACTTGTCAACATTTTGTCCTACTACAAAACTTCATATACCAGGTATTTTCAAATAATATTCTTCAAACTTTGCTATATTTATCATTACCACTTACATATTTCAGAAGTCAGTGAATTACATGAACAACATTAATACAGGACATTTTGTAAGAAAAGTTTTTTTGAAAAAAAATACTGCTGAAAAGTTTTTGTATGTTGATCCTTCAAGCAGTTTTGCACCTTTCCCTTCTTTTACTTTACCGTAGATGGGCATGGAGCAAGACACTGTAATTATATACCTGCCAACTCTCACGCCTAAGACATTGATCTCACACATGGAGGGCCACAAGTTTATCAGTTATCTCAACTATTCTGTGCCACCCTCTTTAAAAGAAGTGTATTATTATTATTGGGCGTAGATCAGACAGTGATGAAACAGGCTAATTCATTTGCTGATGAGCATTCTGAAATTGAACACTGAAAAAAAATGGAAAAAAATGTTTGCAGAAGATAATTTCTCATCCCCACCCCCTCCAGAAAAATAATGGTCTGTCCCTAACAGCGATGTACGAGTACAAATTAAATGTAGATATGAAAAGATATTATAACCTCATGAAGAAAACAAAAAAGCAGCCATGAGTAAACTGGTCAGCGTCAAGTGTTGTGAAAATTCACAAGGAGTGGTTTATGAAAGGTCTAATGATCCCAATGGGAACTGAACTAAACAATGTAATCAACAACTAAAATAAATACATTCATCTCAGGGTGCTCCTTAGTCTTCTCTAGCTGTAGGGGGATTCATTTGACAGTTGGATTTTTTTATTATTTTTTAAAACTAAAACAAACTTAAATTAAAACTAGAAAAATCATGATAAGTAATAACATGTAAGTTCAAAAGCTGAATGCATTTACAATGTCATTAATTAACACTTTTTTTACATAGAGTACAAATTTACATAGAATTATTTATACCCATTTGTTATCATAGCCTTTATTTACATTGATGTATTGTATTTATTCAATTAATGGTGACTTGCATATTCATTAAAAATGCTAATTATGTGGGAAAAATGTCCTCAGACATATTTTGACTTCCCTTTGCCACAAGGAATCTGGATTCTGGAATCAGAAAAATTTTAGCTTTGTTTCATCTGGAATCCTGGCCTTGGAATCCAGAATACAAATCAAGAAATCTGGAATCCTGCGTACTATTAGTCTGCTACACAGCCATTTTTGATGTCATCACGCATGACGACTCTAAAAACGGCTGTGTAGCAGACTAGCGTAAGATTGGAATTCTAAATTTAAGTTCCAATGACAAGGAGTCGGGGATCCACAGAAAGTAATCCAGAATCCAAAA